CCTAAGCACAATCCTGGCCTAGATATGTTTATCATCTAGTAAATTTTACTCTAGTGTTTTCAACTCGGTAAAGTTAGCTGAATGGTTAGAATCACACGATAAACCTACCTATGCCATTATCGTTGGGGCTTGCTAATATTTCCACCCCTATAGTAGCCTAAATTAAGAAAATAACTAAGCAAAAATAAAAATTTTGGCCACAATTATGGTTAAAAGTAGATTAAAAGCACTAACGATGTAACATATATCATTCTTTAATGCTTTTTTTAGTAAAGATGAGTGCTTCATTCAGTTTAGTTGCCGAAATTAAGAATAAAAAGTTGCAAAATAAACAAAATATGATGTATCAAAATAAAACTATAAAAGCACTAAACATCCAGTTTTAGCCAATATTTAGTGCTTGATTAATAAATCTGAATTCCGAGTTTTAAACACCATATTAAAAAAGAGTTAAAAGTTAAATAAAATTTATGGGTGGTATTGGAGTTTTGGAAAAATCATTAATTAGCTGTTATTATAAATTTGATTAACTTACATAATACAACTAATGTAAAAATAAAATTAGGTAAATTATATCAAAATGCCATTACTATTTAAAAAATGTATAATTGAAATATTTTAACATACGAACTCGTTCAAGTTCGTTTTTTTGAAAAAAATGATGAAGACATTCCTTTTATTTTTAACGAATTTTGAACATGAACGCGTTCGTTTTTTGCAGAATGCGTTTGTTTTTTATGTTCGTTCAACTTTAGTATTCATTTTAAAATAAAAAATATGAATTTAATATTAATCCAGATTTTTTAAGAAAAAGAGGGTTATTTTTTTAATTAGCTGTTTCCTTGCCGCTCTTTTTGTCCTATAGTATAGTTCAGGGTTGGCAAGTCGGTCAATTGACCGGTCAAATTCGGTCAATTGACAGAAGAAGTATTTCCTGGTCAAATATGGTCAAATACTCTAAAATGTTATTGGTGAATAACTATATTGATTTAATTAACTAATATGTATTTAAAGCATGTTTATCAATCTAATTTATTTGCAAATTATTTAAATATTTGTATCATCAAAGCATCGATTTAATTATAATTTTATAGAAAAATACAAAATTTTTTAAAATATTAAAATATTAGAATTTCAATTTGAAATATAAAAAAAAAATTTTTCTCTGTGATTAGATCTAAATAAATAAAATAATTTTACTTAAGCATGGTTTGAGAAACTTACTAATTGCCAATTTATATTACATTATATACAATTATCCAAACAAGATTAGCATCATCAATAAAAAATGTAATGAGCAAATGCAATTATGCAAGAAAGCTCTGAAAGCAGCGGAGAGAAATTACCAATAATATATTAAATGTTATTTTGGACAAAAGATTAAAAAATGTATACTATTCATAAACATTTAGCTACCTTATTGACCCTGGCTCGCATAAAAAACAAGGTACTTAATTTAGAAAACATATAATACAATCATGTCCATGATTTTATAATTTACTAATCTGAAGAAAAAATATTAAAGATACTTTTGAAAAAGAAAACAGTTCAAATACATGTGCTCACTCTGCACTGCGATTATTTATTGGATCTGCAATATAAAGGGGCATCTTACTTGAGTTTGATGAAGCATATGATATAATACAAAAATTAGTCCTTTTACAAAGTGATGATTATCAAAATATTTTAAGTGATATCATAAATTTCAGAATTAAATGCGGCGGTATATTTAATAGCCAAAATATGTGGAAACCAGTAACTTTCATAAAAACAATCAGATTTCGGGCTCAAATTATTGAAATGGGCTTTGTTCACCTTGAATATTAAGAAAAGTATCTAAAAAATCCGATTGAAGATCTCGACAACCAAAAATTGATAGAAGGAATATATCATAACCTAAGATTGATTAAAAAAACTCTGCCATGGATAGCGAAACATTAATTATAGAATTTAGAAAAATATTATTTAATATATATACATTTTTTACTATTATATATAAAATGGAATTAATATTGTCTTAAAAACATTTATTTGAATTTGACCATATTTGACCGGTCAAATATCGTTCAATTGACCGAATCTTATTTGACCGGTCAAATGCACAACCCTGGTATAGTTTATTAATTTAAATATTATTTAGAGATTAGCGTAAGCATAGATGTTATTTGATTATCATCATCTGATTATGAATTACCATGGCCCAAATACAATAAATACTTTACAATAACATCATATCCAATAAACTAATTCTATTCTTACCAAATGTAAACTCTTTCCAAAAAGTATAAAATTAGTTTCAAAATCTTCATGTTTTAATTTAAAGAGATACTTACAGTAGCGTCATTGGTGGCGGGGGGAAGGGCAGGGGCTCGAGCCCTTAAATTTTTTTATAGGGCTAGAAAATAGCTAAGTTAGCTATAAAAAAAAGAAAGTAATTTTAGATAATGTTAGCTAAAAAAAGATAATTTTGAAAATAATTTTAAAAATTTTTTGAGTACCCTTAGTTTAAAGGATAGTGATGTCCCTTACTTGATTGCAGTGGCGAAGCTTCCATAGAAGCAATTTTCCTATATTTAAATAAACTTAATATAATCTTTATAATGTGTTTAAGTATAACTAATCTGATCGTTAAAAAAAATTAATATAATTTTTATAACGTTAAAAATATTAATATTATTATATTATTTTTAACGTTAAAAAACTACTATTATATTTATTTAAAAAAATATACATGAGCGTATATTGCCCATTTTTTTAATAAATAATAAAGAGAAAATCATGTGATATTGTGTAATTTTACGTTTAATAAATAAGCATTGGGAAAGCCAATAAAAAAAATGCTTATTTTTTTAATAAGAACAATGCCATTGATGCACAAAATTATTTTAAATTTAGAATTTTGTAAAATAATTTTATAGATATTCCGTTAACCTTTAAATTATAAGTTTAATGTAAAAATTTTTTTTTTAAATTTTATCTATAATTGATTTCGATTTAAAAAAACTTATTAAAAATTTAAAATCTAGCAATAACTTTTATAATTCAGTACTTGATCATTTTACTCAAAAACAAAGACGAATTATATATTTATCTATATTTTCTATGATTGTAATTCATTCATAGACATGCAGAGATACCATTTTCACGACGCGGCTCGGATTTTTGTTTAAAAAAGATTTTTCGTCCCGGCCTGAATTTAAAAAAAATATATTACATTAATTTTTAATTTTTCTAGGTAATAATGGCTATTTAAATTATTCAGTACAGGGCCAGACCCGACCCAGGGTAAAATTCGGCTCCTTCCGTGGGTTTAATGCAGGGCCGATAGGTCTCTGTTTTTTTTATTAAATTATATTATTATTTAGATAAATTAAGTAAAAATCATTAAATATTTGATAGTATTATACATTTATATAAAATATTTAATATATTTTAGAATTTATTTATTTTTATTGTGATTATTTGAAATTACGCTATTATTTTTAAGTTTTTATCAAGAGTTTCATATTTTAATAGTTGAACACAGGGCCGTAACCAGGAATTTCAGCTATGCGGGCCAGCTGCTTACTTGGGGGGCCACTATTTTTTAAAAATAAAACAAATAATTAAGCATTCATAGATATTTTTTGCTATTTTTATTAAAAATTTATTAATGTAATATGAATTAGCGATCTGCATCGGGCATAATTTTTCACGCCTGGCCCGGCCTAAACATTTTTTAATAATTTTGCCGGCCCGACTCGAACCCGAAATATTTTTTAAAAAGTTTTGCTGGCCCGGCCCGAATTCATTTAAATATAGCAATTAATTTTTATAATTACTCAAAATATATGATATAAGTTATATACCGTCTAGTCTCTATAAACTAAATGAAATATTTTTATTTTACATTAAAAATTCAACATAAATCGATAAATTTAGATATATTTAAAAAAATTGGCAAAGCTCGACCCCACCTAGCCCGAATATTTTAAATAAATATTAGGCCCGGCCCAGTCCAAATTTTTAAAAAAATATTAGGCCCGGGTAAGCCCTAACCCGTTTTAAAAAATAGGCCCGAACCCAGCCAGAGCCCGTTCGGGCCGGGTATGGGCCGGGCTTAGATTTGCAGATCTCTAATATGAATACAAAATAATACTATAATATGAATATATAAAATAATACTATAATATAATTCGACAATTTTTATTTTTAAATTTTAACATAATTAAATTTAAGGATATATTTTGTGTTATTTTTTTTCATAAACCATCAATACTAAATTTTGTTTGCGTTGATCTTTCATCGACTCTCAAGTGCTTAATTGAACTCTATTTATTGTAGAGAGTGAGGCCACACAAGAGGCCGTTGGTACCCTAATGATGATGGTTGCTGAGTAGCATTTATACAATTCTTTAAATGCATGATGATATTTTTTTTATACATAATATTTAGGATATTTTCAAAATTATGTGTATTTTTTAACTTCTGCAGTTTAAAAAATTAAAAATTTATTCATAAAGTTTTAAAAAAACGTGAACATGTTCCTTTTTTTGAAAATGAACTTGAACCGTTCGATTTTTGTCAACAAACGTTGCAGCGAACACATTCAATTTTAAAAAAAATGTTTACATCACTACATTTATCACTTTAAAGAAAATACCGATTTATAATTCTGGATATCATTATGATTTTGTATTAAATTATTTATTTTTGTCAATTATTAATATAAATTGTTATAACCTTTTTTGATTATGTTCATTATATAATATATTAAAATATATAATTTTACTTATCTCAAATATTTAACTTTTACTATCAAGAAAATACCCATTTATAATTCTGGATATCATTTTGATTTTGTATAAAATATTTATTTTTGTGAATTATTAATATAAATTGTTATAACCTATTTTGATTATGTTCATTATAAAATATATTAAAATATATATTTTTCTTATCTCAAATATTTAACTTTTACTATTCTAAGAGCGGTTTTAAAGCATTTTTATTAACATGAATTCAATGGAAACTGATACTTTTTTCGATGTATTCCATGACTATGAATCTAAAACAAAAAAGTTAAAGACAAATGAATATAAAATTAAGTTTATTTATTATATATACTCAAATAAATATATAATTGCATGGAAAAATATTTTATAATAATATATTTAACACCTGATAGATTTAAAAAAAATTGAGTATAAATTCTACTTATATGAAACTTTTACGATGTATAATTTTATATTAATAAATAGTTGATTATATGATGGAAATTTTTTAGGTTAATGGCGGATATAAAACCAGAGGAATTGGTTATTAAAACAAATGATGTTAATATGGAAGATGAGAGAGAGCCCCAGGAAGTTTTAGATGCAATGTAAAAATATTTCTCAATTTTTTAAAAATAATTTTATAATAATAGTGATGTAGATGATATGCCCTGTATTATGGTACACACGGTTGAAACTTCTGAATCTTGTTTACACGAGGTATACTATTTCATAATATAAAAGTCTGTATTATTTATATGTATTTATAAAATAACCTATTTAAAAATAATTATAAATATTTTTTATATTTATAAATAAATATATCTAGGTAGCTATACCACCAGGCACAGAGTATTTCCCTTTAAAAAATATTGCAAATAATCTAGCTAAAAACAAGGAGATATTAGAAAATTCCACTAAAAATAATATGATAGATGGGTCTCCCTCTCAATCCATAGAAAATTCTGAACAGCAAGAAATTATTCCTAAACCTGCAAAAGAATACCCTTTCATCCTAGATCCTTTTCAAAAGGAAGCTATTATGGTATTGGAAAATTACCAGAGCATATTAGTTTCTGCTCATACTTCAGCTGGGAAAACTGCAATTGCCGAGTTATTAATTTTATATTCATAAATATATCCTAAAAATTGATATTTATTAATCAATAATTCCATTATTTCTCAGACTCATTATCACATATCTTTTTATTAATTTGAGATTTTATGAGTGTAAATTAATTATAACCCATACATTCAGTATCAGCTGTTACCTTCCATTTTAACCATTATCAGTGACCGATGACTAAAATCATAATGAACCCTTATAAAAAATTCAAAATGCCTATTAAGCCTAAAAAAAAATTGATTTATAAATTTTTAAACAGATTGAAAGCAGAAAACATTTTAAAAAAAAAGTGGTTATTGAATACCTATTACTTTACTTTTTAACAATAACCATCATAATTAAGAAAGTTTTGTTAATTCTTTTCTTATTTTATCTTACTTTTAAAATTTTATTGTGGAATAAATTTATTATGAAGAAAACATATAATAAAATAAATTACGACTACAAGCTTATTGAAGATTTAGAGGCATTATGCCTTAAATTAAAAATCCTAAAATAATTTTGTGGAAATAAAGATGGAGAATCTTAAATATTTTTTTTCTTCAAATCTTTAAATAATAAAATTATATTTCAAAAAAACTTGGTAATGACTGTTTCTAAGGAGTGTTGGTATTAGTTAAAAAAATGATTGGCTAATCTCTGAATTATAACCATAATTTATATGTCATTGAACCAAAATGCTGTATTATTAAACATAACATAAAACCTTAATTATATTTTAAAACATTCTTAGATTCACTCATATTTTAACCTTAATTATTAATTAAAAAATTCTTAGATTCACATATTTTAACCTTAATTATATTTTAAAACATTCATAGATTCACTCATATTTTTAAAGCATGCCTAAGCCTAAGACATGTATTAAAAGTTAGTGAGGGCCAACCCAAATCAGCCCATTGAAATGCCTAGCCCATGATTAATATTTTACCTGTCTAGGCACAATTTTTTTTACCTGGACTGTGGTAACTTCTAGTAGAGTTGGGCGTGGGCCTAATTTTTCATTCACGGCCTGCCCGCTCACTGTGACAATAAATAAAATTCATGCTTACCACTAAAAAGATTTCGACCCGCCCGCTCACGGCAATCAATATTTTGATTCACGCCCGTCACGCCTGAAAATTCACGGTGTTTTTAAATTTTTCAAAACTATTGCTATAATTTTACACTTTTTTGAATTCATTCTATTTATTTCTCTAATTTCATAATCCATATTAATAACAAAAAATAAATATAATCTATAAATCGAAATTTATTTAGAAAAAGAAGAATGTCCATCTTTTTTTATTTCAATTGTATACGCCTTTCCTCTAATAAGAGATTGGCTACAGAAAATAACCTTTCACTAGAAGCCGAACTTGAAGCTGACAAAATTTTACTCGGTAATTTTCTCGAATATTCCTGCTTCCAAAACTTCAAACATTGTTTTGTTATTTATCTTATATGAATCTTTTAAGTTCATCCTCACAGCCTTCATCGGTGATGTTGATGCTTTATCAGAATTATCTAGAAATTCTCTAATGAGTGTAGGATGAATTAGGAAAGTGATAGTTGGTATTGACCATTTAGAATGGTTTTTTATGAGTTTAGGATAAGTTAGTAAAGCTATAAATGATAGTTGGCATTGACTTATGCATATCATCTAATTTTATATCATTTAGCATTTTTAAGATTGTTATCATTTTCTTCTTTAAATTCGGATCTAGAATTAAGCCTACCTTATGTAGTGGCTGCATAATAATCTTTTAAAAGAAATCTTTTTCTGTATTTTAAGGTTTTGATTATTATTGTATCACGTTCAGATTCAGAAGGTTAACAAAATTTTACTAATTTTTGTTTCATAGACAAACTTCATTTATTGTGGGACGAGAATCTGCTCTCAGATTATCCGAGCATTCTTTAAATATTGATAAAAATTTATCTAACTCGTGTATGATGCTGATATCAATTGTGGCTAATCTATTTAATTCTTGCTCGCTAAATAAGCTCCTGTATTTCAGAATATGATTTTAAGAAACTCTGCATCATGATATATACAGAGTTCCATCTCGTTATTCTCGCTGTTACATCTTGTTTAAAGGTGTCGTTTAGTTTGCTATTAGCTGTAGATTGTTTGAAATATTGTACTATTTTTTTTACACCATTTATATTTAAGGCTATTTCAATTAAACGATTGTCAAAAACATAATGCATAATATTATTTGTATATGGCATATACATGCTAGCGTTTCGTCATCTTTGAATGCACTTATAAGATTTGCTTCGTTATCATTCACAACTATACATTTATTTAAGTGATTTTCTACTTCTGTATATTCTCCTAAAATTGAAATGACTGCACTTTTAATTTTGACGTTTTTTTCATCCATTGCCCTTGTGGCCATAACAAATGTTTTAATTTAAAATCCTTAATGATAATATGTCCTATAATGGTTAAAAAACTTAAATTTTTATAGTCATCCATCCAAATATCAGTGAGTAATTATTATATATCATGCTTTTAATCTTAAATTTTATTTCATGGTATATTTTTGAACCTATAGTATTCATGAGAGTTTTTCAGTTCACAACTTTTATATTTTGTTATCCATATGTAACAACTTTCTATTGCATTTAAATATTAAAGATCTTTACAAATAAAATATAACTGACTTTTCTGTAATGTTTAAGCAAAATTTAGCATAAAGTCTCGCGATAAAAACACCTAAACATAAAAAAAAGAACTAACGAAATTATACCGAATGTTGTTTATAAAATGCGGAAGATTCTTAGTTTTCATAAATTAACTAAATTAAATAGGAAAATATATAATAAAATTATAAAATTGCAAATTTATATTTATAAAAAAACAATTTTAAAATTAAAATTTCCGTGATTCACGGGGAATTTATGTTCACGCTTGATCACGCCCGGGGAAAATTTCGGGAAGGCCCGTCACGCCTTGGAATTTAAAATTTATTCACACTCACGCCGTAATTTCACGGCCCGCGCCTACCTCTAACCTCTAGCATGCATATTATTTTATTATTAATATTAAATTATTATATATCAACTTTATTCTATAAATTAATAAAATAGAATTCATAAAAGCAAATATCATAGTAATCCTTCCTTTATTATTTTATAAAAATTTTACTAACACCTTCCTTTATTATTTTATAAAAATTTTACTAACAAATATTTCATTTTTATATAAAAATACTTTAGGTATGCAATAGCCATGTCTTTAAGAGATAAGCAAAGAGTAATATATACAACACCTATTAAGGCCTTAAGTAATCAAAAATACCGTGAATTGTTTGAAGAATTTAAAGATGTTGGATTGATGACAGGGGATATAACTATTAATCCTACAGCAAGTTGTTTAGTCATGACAACAGAGGTTACAGTATTTTACTATTAAAAACATTCCTCTAATATTTTTTTAATTCTTTATTAATAAATAATTATATTTAAAAAAAATTTTTTTAATTTACCTTGTATTATAATTACAAGGCCTTCAAAAAAATGAATCAATCAAAAAACATATATGTGCCATTCAAATAATTTAATATTCATCTATTACAAATAATTCAATTCATTAAATAAATAATCTCATTAGAAATAGATATTAAGCTTTGAAATTATTTTAAGATATTTATAAATTTTATATAAGAAAAAATTAAAAATCTGCAGGCCATAAAATAAATTATAAACCAATATAAAATATATAAAAATTATTTTGGAAATTTTGGAAAATTTAATTATATAATGAAACATTTATAAATACAGCCAAAATATAAAACATGTCTAATAATTTAACAGGTTTCTGATTTATTTCTAATTTTCAGAATTTTCATATTCTATTTAGTTAGTACTAAAATATAGGATATAACTACATGATCAGATTACATCATATCCGAATGGTAAGATTGGTTTGTGAGCCATAATACCATTGGCTATCTTTTATTTATTTATCTGACATATGATTGGTTAAATTTTATTTAAAATATTTTTTTTTTATATTTTTTTATTGAATTTTTTTATATAAATATATGGAATATATATTTTGTTATACATTTTTTTATTTTAAATTTGAAAATAAATATTTTCAATAAAGAGTCAAATATTTAATTGTATGCTCAGATAATATGTAATTTAAAAAAAGCCTATAAGTAATGATATTATTGACCACTGAGAATGAATTACCTATTAAAATAGTTTATAATTCATAAAAGTATGCAATTTAAGTAAAAAAAATTGGAATATGTATCTAAATTACAACTGTTAGGCCTCTTTATAATCCATAAATATATTTTATAGGATTTACCCTGCCCTTTATTTAAATTTTATCCTGTGCATCTCATTTTTATTAAGTTTCAAAAAATGTTGATCAAAATATATGCTTAATTAAAAAAATGCTTTTAAAATTATAAAATAAAATTTTTACAAAAATGGTTATATTGAACAAAAAAAATATTTTAACCAATCATATGACAGATAAATAAATAAAAGATAACCAATGGTAATTTTGACTTACAAACTATAATCTTACCAATAATTATTTGATTTTTCAGAAAATAATAAATTAACATTATTCATCATTTATAGGTATATTAATTTTTTTTAAATGATCCATTGATTAGGATAGTCACCAACAATAATTAAATTTTTTTCCTGACTATATTGATTTTGTTTATGTTGATAGTGACTAGATAATTATTTATTTTCTTACACCAAATCAAAATATTTATAGATAAGAAAATGTAATCAGAATAATAAGAAGTGAGACAATATTATAAAATGGGTCTTCTATATCAAATCTATCAAAAAATGATTTTTTGCTTACCCCTTTCTATTTTTACGTAATTTAATATACAAATTGTGTTAATTTGAGTATTAGTGCCTAGCAGAGTTGTTAAAATATCTAGATACAAGTATCTAGATATAAAAATGTGGTATCTGTATCTAGATAGATTTTTGATTAAAGTATCTGTATCTAGATATTATTTTAGAGGTATCTGTATCTGTTTTAGATACTTTTTAAGATACATTTTGGTATAGTTTTATTTAACACTTTTTTATATTATAAATAAAAATACATGTAAAATTTATTTTATTTCATATGAGCATATAACTTAATATTAATATATATTAAAAAATTTAATATTATGTCTGAGTTATCAATAACAAGCAAATTCTGATATTACAATCCATCTCAAGGAATTTGCCATTTTTAATTGCAATTTATTTTATTCTATTATATTAATTTTTAAGATTAATATTGATGAAGAAAATGACGACATTCCATGGCCAATTTATAGACCATATTTTAAAATAATATCTCAAAATAAAGAAAACAAATCTCTGTTAGTAAAATGTTTGCCATATCTACAAAATATATAAATTTCAGTTAGCATTACCTCAACTTGCAACATTGTAAAACATTTAAGGGTATAGATACTAAATAATTGTTTACAATTTTAAATTTTAAGAGAAAACATCAAACACTCTTAATCCAAATAAAAAAGGGGAAGGAGAAAAAATCTATTAAAGAAAATATTGGACTAGGCTCATCTTTCATTGATTTTTTTTCCAAGAGACCTCAGACTTTAACCCAAACCACTTTAGATGATTTAATAACTGATTTTATTATAGATAGTATTCAACCATTTTCAGTTGTTGAAAATCCATCATTTATAAAAATGATTAATTGCTCTAGAAAAAAATATAATTTGCAGACAGACAGTGGTTGCTAGAATTTCCCAAAGATGGGAGAATGAAAAGAAAGAAATCATTAAAAGTCTAATAGAACTATCGTTAATATGCACAACAGCAGATTGTTGGAGTGCCTATCGCCGGTATAGCTAACATTTAAATTTGTATAATAATTTAATTACAAACAAATTATTTGAGCTGTTTTTAAGAAATGTTAATTTTTAGTTCATACATAGGAGTCAGTTCACAGTTTATTACTGTGCAAATATTTCCCAGCTCATTATTAAATTGAAAAATTTTAAACAAATGAACCTGAAATTTTGTTTACCACTCTTAAATGCCTTACTTAAAGGGATTGAAGATAGGTAAATTAATAATAAATTAATCAATATTTGATAATTCTAGGTTTATTGGGACAATTTTTCAAGATGAAAATATTTTGGCAACTATGCTTCATCCTTTTTTCAAACTTGATTGGATATGGTTGCAAAAGGATGAAAATTTTCATAATAAAACAATTAATACATAGATTAGTTGAGGAATTATCAAAGTCTTCAAATGAGTGCAAATTAACTTGTGAAAAAACCAATAATTTAATATCCGATTTTTTTCAGTATCCCACAGCAGGAGATATGATTGTTATTGATTTAAATTCTGATAATCAACAAATTTTAAATAGTTTTTTCAAAAATGAATGCCGAGATTTTAGTATTTTTAAACAATATCCTGATATAAAAATGTTATTCATTAAATATAACACCACAATCCCTTCCAGCACCCCCTGAAAGACTTTTTAGTATAGCTAAAAATGTCTTTACAGATAAACGAGGATGTCTTAATGACCAAAATTTTGAAAATATTTTATTAATGAAATCTAATAATTATTTATAATCATTTAATCATATATTATATTATTTTATTAATGATATATAATAATTATTTATATTAATATCAAATCATTATTTTAGTTATATTTTGATAAATGTGATATCGAGTCAATAAATTTTTTAGATCATTTCATGAATTTTCACAATAATCCTTATTTAGGTTTATTCAAACCTTATCTAAGAGTATAATAAAAAATGTATCTGTATCAAGATAACTTTTTAGAATCTGTATCTGTATCTAGATCTATTTAAAAAGTATCTTTTAACAACTCTGGTGCCTAGAAATAAAATTAAATAATATATTTATCGTTTTGAAACCATAATATAAATTTTAATTCCTTTATTAAACTCTATTAATTATAAATTAATCAATTATAAATTAACATAAAAGGAAAGAGTAACAAAAATAAAAGATTAAAAATTAAGAAAATTATAGGCGAAAAATAAAAGTCATCTCTTTCCAATGACATATAATAATACCTAGACTGACGATTCATTCATTAAAAGTGTACATCAATACAAATCAGCTAGAGACGCCATCTTGGTTACTGTAATAAATATTAAAATTTTAAACGAGAGCCTAATTTTATATTATATCTGATGCAAACTTTATTAAAGGACTGCCTGATCATCGAGATAATAAGAAAGTAAGTTATCAATTTAATATTAGTTTTTAACATGAAAATAATTATTATAAAGGTTACCAAAATGGCGGGTCCAGCTGATTTGCTTTTAACGACTCTTAAAAATGCATTTTAATGAATGAATCGTCAGTCTAGGTATTATTATATGTCATTGTCTCTTTCTATATAAAATCATATTATATAGTATAACCATTTGCATAGATTATTAACAATATACATATTCAAATTTTACATGAACTCTAAATATTCAACTTTATATAAAAAAAACTATTTTCCATAAATATTCAAATTTATATGAACAAAACTATTTAAAATAAATGCAAACAAAAATAATACAATTCTAAATATCACAACACACTTCCACTTAAGATGGACCAATCCTTTTGCAAATGATCAACTTTTCTTTCGATTTCTGTTTTACTCATCTTGCATCTTCACCAAAGCTAGTCTTCTTAATCTTTTACGTCTTCTATAGTTCACACTATTGCACATATTGGATTACCATTTTATTGCCTTTGCAATTTTTAAATAACCCTAGATAGCGATTGACGATCTTGATAAACTCATGCTTTTCAACTATTCCCGATTGCCAGTCAACTAGATACTATTCTTTCTTTACAATTTTTTAAATTATCTTAATTATTCAATTCTTTTGCTCTCTGTAATGAACGATTAGCGCTTTATCTCGGTAATTGATTGGCGATCATTTGTATGGACTAACGGTTGCAGCCTGAAAGTCTTGCCCAGTTGTTCTTGCTAGTCGCCAGTTTCTAACGTTCTTTAGCCATAAATGATTATCGCTTTATCTTTGTAACCGATTGATGATCATTGTTAAAGATTAATGATTTCCTTTAAACGTTCCATAATTTCTGTACCGATACTGATGGCCGACTTCTGTGTCTTCGGAGATCGTTTGTTTATGCCGTTATATCGATTCTGTTGTTTATCTATCCTATCTTGATCTTGGTTTAATTTTAATGTCCACGTTTCTACCTGAAATATAAATTTTTCATAACTTCTGAAATATTCTATTACCTTTCTTACATTCATTCTTAAATTTTAAATACATAGTCCAATATATTAATAAATTATATAAATATGTCAAATTCTATGTATTAAATTGTCTAAATTCTCTTAACTGCTGAATTATTTGCTTCTTAAAGTAAATCTAAAATTTATTATACATAGTCAAAATATACTATATGTCAAATTCTACCACCCCTTTACCCTAAATGAAGTCTAGACCCATATCTTTATTGAGCCATTTGCCTGTGGTCGTCCTTTAGCTATTGATCATGATTTTCTTTTCAGCAATGTCTAATACTAAATTTTTATCTAAAATTATTTTATTAATCTTTACCTAAAAATCTTATTCTAAAATATATATCAAAATATCTTCTTCTTTTTTTTTAAAAAAAAATATCATTTTGCATTTATTTCCTCATACATTATGCACTCTTGGACACTCAAGTCTTTAAGGAAAAACGTAATATCTATTTGTTTTTTTCTCCTTCAGCTCATACCGGTTGTTAAAAAAATTACTGAAATGTATACATCTCTTTTCATACATACGTTGTTGAGAAATCAATGAAGTCTAATCATTATAGTTTTCGCCACGTTGTTGAACAATCACTGAACTCTAATCATCATGGTTTTCACACCTACGTTTTTTAACCACCTATGAAATCTAATCATAATTTATATTTAATCATGTTATCAATACTTATTTTAACCTATTTTCGTCAAAAATATTCAAAATTAACGATTACGACAATTGTCACATTAAAATATTATCCTTAAAAGGATCATATAAAATAACATAAAAAAGTTTAATATAAATATTTTTAAAAATTATTTCGAAAAAACCACCTCATTTAATAAAAAAAAATAGATAATTTTACAAAAATGATAAAAAAAATTATAAAAGATTTCACATAAAAGATTGTTTATTTATATAATAAAATTTACAATAGAATTCCTCAAAAGATATATTTACAAAGAAGATTGTGAAAATCACTAATAAATTGTATTAAAAAGAATATTACAATAGCAGCATATTATTTTTTTTATTAAAAAAAACATCAAATAAATAAATTTATTTTCATTTCATAATATAAATTAAAATTATTAAATCATATCATGTTTATTTGTTGATAATAATAAATTATTTACATTAAATATAAATGAAATAAATATTTTACTAAAATAAATAAATAATAATTAATGCTAGGCATCGATGCAGAATTTTTGACTAATTTAGTTTTAGCCGATTTTTAGGCTTAGCCGATGCTTAGCCTAATTATGAGCCGATTTTTTCACCTAAAATCTCGGCTAAGCTGTTTTGTAGTCGGTTAAAATTAGCCAATTATGCAACACTACTTATAGTCCAAATTAGATTCCGTTGGTTTCTAAGTTAACCAATAACTTCTCTGCTATAAATTTCATAAATTATCACCTTTGAATAACTATAATAACAACTTCTTTATATCCTTTCTATTATAAATGCTACCACCTTTATAATTCTTTGTTTTTCATTTAAGATAATTATATCCCTACACAATTTTTTATTTTAATCTTAATTTACAAATATATTCCTAAAAATGAGCTAACGTAAAATAATTTCTTACTTTTTTTAATTTTTATCTTTGGAATTTTTGCCTTAGAATGCAGTTTGTAGCATTAAACTGAATTTTTTAAATTGCCCAGAAGGCGTCCTCTCTTCAGCACCACTGCATCCTAACTATTATACCCTTAAAGATATCAAGGGTAAAGCATGATAAATTACCCTTTTAATGAGTGTCGGACTGCATATAATGAATGATAAATACTACATAATTGTATAATAAATATAGTATCAAAATGAAGCATCTTAATATTTTTAGAAAATAAATTAAAAATTTTGGAGGCATATCTTTTGCCCTGAACAAATTTAAAAAATTTATAAAGAAAAATACTCCGATTTTTAATAAAATTTTAATCAAACATTTATTACTATTACCATTGCATATGAGTACAAACAAATTGAGGTGAGCTTCCATAACTTCATAGGTAAGATCGATAAAATACTAACAAAGAAATGAGCTATTTTTAATAATTATAGATAGCATATTTTATATTCTGCCTGTATGATTAACAATGCTTTATGATTTTTTAATAAATGATCTAAAAAGTTCCTGTCGCAATATTTTTAATGCCTTATCTACAGTGGAGGCTTTGGTTTATGTTAAAATTCCAATATAAGTTACATATCTTAGTTTATAAAATCGAAAAGGGCATATCTTGATCAATTTGACATGGATTGACCCAAATATGTAATGCATTAGGAAAGCGTTTCAGCAATGTTTTGTCATTTATTATATCAAATTATATAATTATATAAAAATAATAATTGTTTATAGTTTATTTTTATTCGTCTCATTTGAATATTATTAATATATTCAAACTTGTCTAATTTGCGTAACTACCTATTACCAAAATTTTGAGTCTCAATTCCTATTAAACACTATTGAAAATGTCTATAAATTGGGCAACTATCTAATTTGAAAAGTGGGAAAATTTTTAATTTTTTGTCATTTTGCATAAGACCTCTATAAATTGAACATGTGTTGTTTTTGTAGCATTCATTATATTATAAAATTTTATAATCTTTTTAAAACTATTGATGTCAAATAGTAAAATTAATAAAGAAAACAAATGTTATAAATTATTGTTGATTAAAAAAACATAGGCTATTTAATTTCTAAATTATCATACTCAAAAAAAATGTGCTAAAAAATAATATTTCTAAAGGAACTGTTCACATTCTTAAATGAAAAGAAAATATTATCAAACTCCATGCAAATAAAACATATTGTACTAAATAAACAAACAAAGATAACATTATCATAAATTACTTTTTATTCTTATTTTGTATACAACCATTTTATAAATTTTATACAGTCTTATTTTTATAAGCTTATGTATAAATACATAACTTTAATCATGAATTAAGAATTAATAAAAAAAAAAATTATTTGAAAATTGTTGAACATAATCTCACTTTTTGCTAAATCAAGTATATAACTGATTGTAAAATGTTTTTTTTAAAAAAGTAAAAATTGTTAATAAATTAGACAACTGTCTAAGTTGGGTAAAAAATCTTTGTCTCAATGGTCCTCAAATTAGATAGGTATGACGGCACTTTTTTATTTAAAAAAATCAGTTAAACTTTTTTAAACAATATACTTAGAAAATACAAATAATACAACTCTTTGATTTGTAAATGAATAGAATAAAAATACTAAATTATTCTATTATTTTTTAAGGCTTAATACGAATGTTTATAAATTTCATTATTAATATCGAACATTAATTAATAATTTTAATATTTACAAAATTTTAAATACGACTAACTATTACTCAATAAAATTTGACCACTTTCATTTTTTCCTGCATCATTATTTATAATATTTAAAAAAATATTTGAAGGCATTAATATTTTCAAAGAATTTTTTAGGATATTATAGTACAATCTATTACGTTAGTGTATATATAACATTTTTTTCCTCCTTCCATTTCAGAATTATGACAAGACAAGATTAAAAGTGAGGTGTGTTTCAAAACTACCACATAAAAGCTAATGGTATGATATTTTTAGCAAATTTATCTTTAGTTTTTGTTTTTAAAAAATGCTCCTATAATATCACGTATTTATTCGTTCTTCTGCCTAACCTCGAATAACTCGCGGAAGCATTAATAGTATAAATTTATTAGCTATTTATGCTTACAAAGAAAGAAAATCTCGACCAAAAATTTATAGATCTAGAGTTCGAGATATTATCATTCAATAGCACGGTTACACGATTGTTAAAGAGAGTTACGAGAAAAATTTTATTACCTAGTTCTAGTTAAAATGTTAGTAAAAAATGTCTTAGAAAACTCCGAGATATCTCATGATTATATTTCGACTCTCCAGAATGTTATCACAAAATTCACTCATAATAGAAGGCATCTCAATTCAAATCCGCAAATAATGATTGTTTGATAACAGAATAATACAAAGGCAGATTTACAGATAAATATTCAAAGATGTAACATAAAATAGCACCAGAGACTTGGCAACAATTAAATCTTTTCCTATTATTATAATTCAAATCATTCAACAAACGATGACATCTAAATTTTTAAATTATTATTTATATGTAATTTATTGAAACACGCCCCACTTCCTTATTTCAGGATAATTCTTATATGGCTAAAGGAAAATAAATGTTTTTAAGTTTTTTATATATGAAGGATTGTATACTATAATTTTCGAAAAACTCGTTTAAAATAATTGTCCTTTAAGTGTTTTTTTTATTTTAAAATTATGTGTTAGAAAAATATGGATGTTTTTTGTTTTGGCAGAGTGATATTTACGAGCTATTAAATATTTGGGAATAAAGCTTAAAATATTGTTTGGAAAAATTATTTTTATTATATCCCCGCATTATGAATAGGAGCCAAATATCATTTACATATGAATAATAATTTAAGAACTTTACAAGCATTTGGAGCAAGCAGTATATTTTTTTTTCTTCTCCACTTCGTACAAATTCTTTTAAGAATAAATTTTTTAAATTTCCTATTTAAAAGATTTTGATATTAGAAATATTCTGAAATGGTAATCTCCGTAAAACGTTACAGATACTTTTTAAAATCTTGTTCCTGGTCCTGTTTCTATATTTCCTTAAATGTCTCACTTTTCGGTTTCCGTACATTCCAGATCCCAGGTTTTTAGGGCTTTAATTTTCTAATATTAAAAAATTATAAAACCTTAAAATTCAATTATAAAAAATAATAATTTATAATATGATTATTATATATATTATAGGTGGGCTTGGGAAATTAAATACGAGATGCACACCTAGAATAGAACTAAATAGTGTTATATTTTTAGATTTAAAACCATATCAAAATCTCTTATAATATTTATTCCTTATTTTTTATAATAGATTTTAAGAAGTATGCTATACCGTGGATCAGAGGTAATGAGAGAAGTTGGATGGGTTATATTCGACGAAATACACTACATGAGAGATAAAGGTAATTATGTTTCGAAAATTATATATGCGATAACTAGAAGAGGTCAGTGGAGCGCGACCCTAAAGTGCGTCGAATAAATTTCTAGGACAGGTTGGACAAATTGTTCAAAACATTTTAATGACCCGGGCTAGGCCGAAATTTTGAATATGTTTTTTTAAGCTGATTATTAGAAAATTATTTCGTTTTCCTTCATAAAAAGGTATTACAATTTGGCTGGAAAATTTATGCAAAATATAAAAGCGGGAAAAATGATTACGGGCCGGGCCTCATCGTATTTCAATAATTAGTGCTCCTAATGACGAATATTTTAGATAAATTAAATATTAGAATCTTAGAAATTTGATTGTTATTTTTTGTAATTTTATTTAAAGATATAATGATATTTTTAAGTGTTAATATTTTCATTAAAAAAAATTTGTAATATTTAAAATTTCCGCCATATATTTTTGAGAAAATTACCTAAATTAACAATTAAAAGAGTGCCCTTCTTGTCGGTACTTATACGAATATTTTTTTTAAACATAACATAAAACGAAGAACGTGGAGTAGTTTGGGAAGAAACTATAATTCTCTTGCCCGATAAGGTCCATTACGTGTTTTTGTCAGCGACTATACCTAACGCAACACAATTCGCCGAATGGATTTGTTATTTGCATCATCAAGTAATTTTTTTTAATACTGATATACCTTATGGTAGCCAGAAAAATATAGATTTTCAATCCTGGCCCCATACAAACTAAGATATTGGCTGCTAAAGTGATAAACTTGACCAAAAATGAAACATTTAAATAGAAAATATATTTGAATTTATTTAATTTTTAAAAATCATTTAAAGTGCTCTAGGTAAGCTTAAATTTTTTGGATTCCATATCATTTCTTAAAAATATTTTTTTAAAAACTGAATGTTGAAGACCGAAAGCGCGAAAATTGTCATTATAGGCTCAGACAAAAAGGAAAGAGCCAAGAAAAAGCTTATTCCCGAGAACTGCATTTTAATTTAATTACTTTAAGGATGGGAGATGGCTGATTTTATATTTAATTTTTTTAATTTATAAGGTAGAAAAAGATTGAAGAAATCATTTTTTGAAGTTTGATCGGTTTTGTTTAACGTGGGAGGAAAGTATGGATAGAATAGACATTAGGTTTATTTTAGGTATTTTCGCTTGACTTGAAATTTCTTTATAGATAGATCTCTTCTTGTTCAGTCTTGATAATTGCTTCATTTTTACATTAAATCTGATACATTCTTTATTGCTCTAGAACCAGAGAGTTTTGTAATTTCTATAAGCTTTCCGTTAAAGGAATAAAGCCAGGTCAGAGCATAGTGTTCCAGGTTTTGATTTACATTTTTAATGATATAAGCAATAAATTGTAACTTTTTTAACGTAACGGGCATAGTGCCTGTATATCATCCATAACCTGTCATTCTATATAATTCTTGGGTAATAAACGTCAGATATAATTTTCAGATAGAAAAGCCTTGCTTGCATTTTGGATTTTAATATTCAGCTCCTCTATGCTTTGCCCATTGTTATTCAGGGAAGCACCAAGGTATTTTATGAAACCACCATTTATTGTCGCTTAGCTACCTGAAAGAATCGTAGTTTTGTTTAAGTTGACAGCAAGTCTAAGACTGCCTGATTTAAGAACGTAATTAGATTATACGTTTTCTCAAGGTTTTTGGTAATTCTGACTATACTTTGTACGAAATTTTGTTTTCTAAGTGATAATTGAAATGGTTGGGGCCACGACCGTGTGAAGTCCAACTATAGGGGAGGGGGAGGGATCGATGGGGTTCAATGGTCCGGGATTGTCGGTGAGTGGGACCGGAGGACCTGATTTAGCGGGCATTTTGGTCATCGTACATAGCACTAATCGCGGTAGTCATCGTATAGAATATAGTAAACAACATATTTAACTCACGGATACATAGGAAAATTAGACTTTATTCAATTAAAAATTTTCTTCCAAGTTTAAATCCAAGAGAATAAGAAAATTCATTCCAATTATGTACAATCAATTTCGATAAAAAAAAGCATAATTAATGATCCAGATTACATATATTACACCTCTTATATATTGAAAATTCTTTGACAACTTTTGTTTTTGTCTACAAAAAAAACAAATGAAGTATTTTTCTAAAGATTTTATACATTTTGGCCATCTTTAATGGCTAGGACCAGTTTCAAGTGAATAAAATATAATAACAAGGTTTTAAAATTTGCAATATCGTATAAAAAAAGTAAAGAATGATGATGGACAAAGAGGATAAAATATGACAAACGGGAGACTTTGAAAGAAGTACTTTTAAAAGATTTTTACGTGAAGAAAATATCATAACAAGGTATTGTAAAGTCGTATAAAAAATGTGTATAAAAAATGTGTATAAAAAAATATATATATAAACAACGGGGTTTCATTTAAACACAATACTAATTGTTGCTTGACTTCAATTTCCGAAGATCTACAGCAGCCAGTGTATCCTTCATTACTTTATTTATGATTAAGTTGAATAGGATCGGTAAAAGGGCACACCTTTGTTTGTCACCTTTTTTTATTCTAAAAAGTGGGGACATCTTGTTGTTCAGTTTAAAGGAATAAAATAGATTATATTAGTTTTTAGAATTTTAATTATATTGGCTTTTATGCCCAACTCCATAGAATGCACTCAAGGCGTCATGGGATGCTGTCGAAAGGTCTTTTGAAGACAATGAAGGTAAAGAGTCACATTTCTGAATTACGATTTTTGGTGCTAGGATTGGTTCCAATATCTTCTTGCCGGGGCGATATGCACAGATATAATTTGGAGAATAGATTTTGCGAAATTTTAATAAGACCATAAAATCTTTGTTGCAACGGATATGAGAGCTATGGTCATAGAGTCGTTATATTTAGTTGAGTCCTTTATGACCGAAGGGGATGCCTTTAGATACTCCCCCGTGATGTTTCTAGGCCCGGAGCCTTATTGTTCCTCAGTGTTTTATCTTTAAATTGTAGAAATTTGCAGGGGATCTGGGGAGGGGTGGGGTTCTAATATTACTAAGGTTCCTTGAGTTGAGGATGCACATATAGGGGTCTAGCCATATAACTGCTTGCTCATCAGGGTCTGTTATTATTCTGTTGTTCTCTAAACAGATTGTGGAGAGTTCCTTGAACGTGCTAGGTCTACAATTTTAGTTTGTTGAATGCATAATAAATTATATTTTACTTCATATCAATATCTATTTTTGTTGCTTTCCTATTATATCCTTCTATATCATTTTGATCTTTGAATCCCTAGCACCTTCAAAAAACTCTTCACAATCTGTTTAGGGAACAACTGAATAATAACAACCTGATGAGTAATCATTACTATGGCTAACCACTCTAGTAGCGTTAGAACCTCATATCCCCCCCTCCCGATCCCCTGTAAACAAAAATAAAAATAGATGGGTTTGGGTTCGGTTCAGGGAAATATTTTTGAACCCGGGTTTGGTTCCGGGTTAAGCTTGGATTAAAAATTTTTGAATTGATAAAATAATAATTAAATAACTAGACCTAAATTTGGTATAAAAAATAAATTTTTATTTTATTTATAGGCAAAATATAGTTAAAATACAAAGCATAGTCATTTATAATTTTAAAAATTTAATGACATATTTCTTTAAATTAACAATATCCAATATAATAATTTTTACTTTGACTTGTTCACTTTCATTTTCCTCTAATTAATAATCATTGAGAATAAGTTAAAAATTAAAAATAAATGGTGTAAATGAATTTAATTGTCACTCCAATAGAAATCTGAGAATAAATTTTAAAAAATTTAAAAATGGCGTAAATGAATTAAGTCGTTTAAAATTTATTAACACTCCACTTAATTGGAAATTTAAAAATATTATATAATCTCAATTAAATTATTTATATTTGTATTTACAGTTAAAATATCTTAATATATGATTTTAAAGAATATACTGAGCCCGGTTGAACCTGGGTTCAAATAAAATTCATGGATTTGGTTAGGGGTTTTGAAAATTTTATAAACAGGGTTCGGTTTGGGTTCAGAATTTTTCCCCAAAAACCCGGGTTTTCTTCTCTTGGTTCGGTTCGAATCCCTGCCTGTAAATTTCTCCACTACAGAGATATTCTTAGCTCTAAAGAAACAGGAGTCATAAAGCTTTGGGTCTAGGCAACATCACAGGGGAACATCTAAAAGCAGCCGCATCGGTTTATGGAATATGTTATTAATTATTCCATAATTATCTGATATTGTTTTTACAATTTAGAAATAAAAACCATACAAAATTATTTAAAATTAAAAATAACCAATCAATAATTTTTAAAATTATAAATAAAAACCAAAATATTTTAAAAACTTAAAAACAAATACTAAACAAAATTAAAGAAATAAGTTGAATTTCTTTATTTTATTATAAAACATGAATAAGATAACAAATTAAATAATATATATAGATTTTTATAAAATAAATAAATACTGTTTCAAAAATCATTATACTTATTTATATAACAATTAGGGTTTCTCTCCTTTCAAAATTTTCTTATAACATTACTATACGATTCTGAAAATTATATGTTCATTTCCTATCGATACCTGTCCGATCCTTTCAAACTCAATTTTTTTCATGAAATTAAATATAGTAAAAATTATAAATTGATTTGCTCTTATATAAATTTTAATGTTTCACTTCAAATGAATACCTTAGCTTTTAATTCGTAATTGATATATAAAATTTTCATATTCATGAAAATTCATAACTTTGAAGGCAGCCCATATTTATGAATCTGGGAAGTATTGAGTAGTAAAATTATCATAAATTAGTTAAAAAGTTATAATTTTCAATATATATTTTTAAATTTATTTATAAATTATTTTTTGCATCAACCAAACAGCCTTGCCACGTTGTTTATACTGATTACAGGCCTACGCCCCTACAACATTACGTTTTTCCAGCTAACGGCGATTGTCTATACTTAGTCGTTGATGAGAATGTAAGTTCCAAATTGTTTATATCATTTAAATAAGGAAATCGAATGATATACTTATGCCCCCACCCATTTAAAAAAGAATTATTTATGGTGATCTGCGTGAATCTACTGTGTATAGTTCTGATACTATATTTTCTTTTTAAAGTTGCACCAGGTTAGACGAACTTAAACGTTGTTGAATATATTTCTATAAAAATGGCTGGCAGGGAATTTTTAAAGTAATTGTCATGTGGCTAATTTTTATAACATGCTGGACCCTTTAAATCCGATACACCCAGAGAAATTAATAGTAATAATATATCTGATTCGTTATTATCTTAATAAAGGGTGATTTCAATGAAGGAAATTTTTCATCCGCCATGACGGCTTTGAGAGACACTGGTGATAACGACGATAGGGGCAGAAAAGGTGGATCTAATAAAAGTTATATTATACATTTATTTATATATTCATATTAAAGTTTAAATATATCAAATGTTTTTTTTACATTTCAATATGTAACAATAATATCGCGCAATATTTTTTGCGAGTCTTAGATCTAAAATATCTGTAACATATTTGCCATCACTCATCTTTTAATTATACAGTGCTACGCAGATTTAATTTAAAACATCCATATTTTTAATTCTTTTGTAAATAAAATTATGTAATTTGTAAAAATTGATAAGAATATATAAATGTTTTTTTAACAATTTTTTGCAAGTCAAATAATTTTATTGTCAAATAAATTAAAAAATATGGAAATGTTTTGAATTAAATGTGCATAACATTGTATTAAACTTATAAAAAATTAATCGAATAACAAATAAATGTTATCATTATTATTACAGTGGCGTTGCTAGCCCTAATCTAGGCATTTAAACAGTAAAAAGTAAATTATTTAGGCAAAAATGCTAGTTACTCTGTAAAAATTATTTTAGGCATGCTTAAATTAAGTTTAAGTATAGTAGAAGCAATCTCTCCTTAGCATATCTTAACATATATTAAGCTTTCGTACATCTATTTATTTTGTTAAGAACTATTCATGGATATTATAAGCTTAAGAAAATTCTTATATGAAAAATGGTATAAATGTTTATGATTTACATCAATTGCTAAATTATAATATATAAAGATGAAAACGATGTCTTCAAATTGATCAAGATGATTATGGAAAGAGATTTTCAACCCGTTATAGTATTTAGTTTTAGTCGAAAAGAATGCGAGTTTCACGCTTTACAAGTCTCTAAAATGGATTTCAATACAAGTTTTGGGGATTCATATTACATAAAATGATAAAATATGGGATTTTTTTTGAACATACATCTTTAGCCCTACAGTGTAAAGATTGGTAAGTTGAAGTTAATCAAACTTCCATTTTAAAACTTTTATATCGCTCCTGGCTTTAATATTTTAAACATTTATATTAAGTTAACCTTAAATTAATTATAGTACAGAAATTTATTAGATTTAGTGTCAAATAAAATTTTATGATGATATTTTTGCATCGATCAAAGTTAACTTTAATCATAATCCTAGCTATAAATAACCCATAAAAAGAAATAGCATATATTTGTATACATTTTATTAAATTCTATATTTTCGCAGTCGAAGAAAAAGCATTAGTGGAAGAGGTTTTTAACAACGCGATCGATATTTTATCTGACGACGATAAGAAGTTGCCTCAAATCAACCATCTTTTACCGATCTTAAAAAAGGGGGTAGGCATTCATCATTCCGGTCTTCTCCCCATAATCAAGGAGACTATCGAAATACTATTTTCCGAGGGGTTAATTAAGGTTTTAAAAATAATTTAAAGCATAAAAAGTTTATAACGGATTTGGGTGAATATCATTATTGTAAAAAATAAATATTATACGAATACAGTTTTAAATTATAAAAAAAGATAAAGAATAAAAATATATTATTGCTCATAAATTACTCTACTAATATTTTAATAATGAAAAAAACTTAGGCGTTATTTGCGACTGAAACGTTTTCTATGGGTTTGAACATGCCTGCTAGGACGGTATTATTCACAAGTTGCAGGAAATATGATGGAACAGATAACAGATGGGTTTATCTACTTTAATAACAAAATAATTTTAAAAAAGTATTAAATAATTTTCTGATTTTTTCCTTAAAAAAGCATCTTTTTTCGGTTTCTGAATGTATTAAAAAATATTATCGAATTTTTTTGGGGGGTAACCATGCTCTTCTTATAAAAAGTTTACTCTATGTAATCATAAAAATTAGTTGATAAAAAACTTGCACTTAAAAATCATAATATTATAATATCCATTGTAAGTTTCCAATATTTTTAGATTTATTTCAAATTATATTACAAATGTTGGGATTTAAATAAATAATTCTGACGAAATTTTGTTCTAAACATAAATTTCCAGAAACCTTCTCGTCCTTTCATTAATACATTACCTTCCTAAAAAATTACATTGAATAATGAGATATTCATAGAAAACAATAATTTAGTTTTTATTTGTATGAATCAAATATTTATACTATTTGTATTTGTGTGATTCGAATAATTCATTATTCCTATTTGTAAATATCTGAAATGCAGAGCCTGGCCCGGATTTAAGTTTTATTTTCTAGCTTGGCCAGAAAATTTTCCTGGGCCAGCCCAATATATATTTTTGATTTATGGCCCAATCGGAAATTTTTATTATCTTTAATAATTACAGGGTTGGCAAGTCAGTCAATTGACAGAAGGAGTATTTGACCTGGTCAAATACGGTCAATTAATCTAAAATGTTATTGGTGAAAAACTATATTGATTAATTAACTAATATGTATTTAAAGCATGTTTATCAATCTAATTTATTTGCAAATTATTTAAAAACATATTTAAATCATCAAAGCATCGATTTAATTATAATTTTATAAAATATAAAATTTTCATATTAAAATATTAGAATTTCAATTTGAAATATAAAAAAATGATTTTTTCCCATTATTAATTTGATTAGATTTAAATATATATAATATAATTATTTTACTTAAGCATGATTTGAGAAAATTACTAATTGCCGATTTATATTACATTATGTACAATTAATCAAACAAGATGGGCATCATCAATAAAATGTAATACGCAAATACAAATATGCAAGAAAGCAGCTGTTTTAATAAGTTGGATATTTGTCCAAGAGAAATTACCAATAATATTTAAAGATATTTTTTACAAAAAATTTAAAATTTTATACTATTCATAAACATTTAGCTATCTTATAGACCTTGGCTCACGTAAAAAACAAGATACTTAATTTAGATAACATATAATACAATCATGTCCATAATTTTATAATTTACCAATCTTAAGAAAAAATATTAAAGATACGTTTGAAAAAGAAAACAATCTAAATACATGTGCTCACTCTGCACTGCGATTATTTGTTGGATCCCCAATATAAAAGGGCATCTTACTTGAGTTTGATGAAGCATATGATATAATACAAAAATTAGTCGTATTACAAAGTGATGATCATCAAAATATTTTAAGTTATATCATAAATTTCAGAATTAAATGCGGTGGTATATTTAATAGCCAAAATATATGGAAATCAGTAACTGTCATAAAAACTAATAGATTTCGGGATCAAGTTACTTGGGCTTTGTTCACCTTTAATATTAAGAGAAGTGTCTAAAAAATCAGATTTAAGATATCGACAACCAGCAAATTGATATTAGGAGTATATCATAACCTAAGATTGATTAAAAAGGCTCTGCCATGGAGAGCGAAACATTAATTATAGAATTTAGAAAAATAATTTAATATTTTTACTATTATATATAAAATGGAATTAATATTGTTTTAAAAAACATTTATTTGATTTGACAATATTTGACCGGTTAAATATTGGTCAATTGACCGAATCTTATTTGACATGTCAAATGCACAACCCTGAATAATTATTGTATTTTGTAAATTGTTTCAAAGGGAAATTGGAAAGATGAGTAACCCTCCATTATATTCCCTCCAACTAGCTATTTTCAATCAGCGGGGTTTTAATTCGTTCACAGGTTTTAATTCGTCCACATATACTATGGGTGGGTGTGGACCGGCGGTTAAAAATGTAAGCCCAAGGTGGGTGTGCTAATAATATTTTAAACAATGGGCCAAGAAATAAAAAGAAATTTTAAGCAAAATTACCAGGATGGGCTTATATTTTATAAATTTCAAATAATTTTTAAACATTTGCGGGTGGAAGAGTTTTACAAATTTGATAAATATGCGGGCGTATAAATTTTATCATGAACAGTGATGGGTAAGTTTAAAAAATTTAAAACAATGGGTGGACATTCGGGTTAAATTTGATATAATTTTAATTTAATAAATCGGGCCAGCCTGGATTTTGTATAAACAAATTTTAGGCCTAGTCCAGGCTTATTCTTTGATAGAATTTTATTTTGTGCAAATAATTTTAATTATTTATATATTTTTTAAAATTATTTGATTCAAATGTACGAATAATGAATAGTTATTCAATAGGTCTATTTAATAATTAGTACCCTTATCTGTTTCTAATAATATTTCCTATATTTATTTAACAAGAACTTGACAATATTGACACGATCTTTCTTTAATCTCATATTAATATTGTCCTGATGGAAAATATATATTTATAACAACTCACAAAAAAATTTAAGTAATGAATTTCAAATAAATTAAATTGACGATTTTTTGAATAAATGTTTGATATAAAACTATCTAAATTACAACACTACTCGTTTACAATACTGTTTTTTTTAAAATGAACATCTTAAAGATATCGTCAGGAGAATACATACAAATGAGTGGAAGAGCCGGAAGGAGAGGGATTGACGACAAGGGTATCATTATACTCATGATTGATCAAAGAATGGGCTCTGTTATAGGCAAAGATATCATCAAAGTTTTGTACACAAAAACTATATTAGTTTCTAAATTTTAATTATATAATTTTTTTTTTAGTTATTTTTTTCAACTTTTCTACAGAATTATTTTTGTAATAGGGTAAAGCAGATCCCTTAAACAGCGCGTTTCATTTGACATATAATATGGTTTTAAACCTACTGAGAGTTGAAGGAATAAATCCTGAATATATGCTGGAGAAAAGTTTTCATCAATTCCAAAATTATTCCGCTATTCCTTCTCTCAAAGAAAGTAATTAATAATACAATACCTTTATTTGATTTGTTATTATATATCTTGTTAACAATTTACATTAATCTTTTTTAAATCGTATTACAATAATAAGTGCTCTTTTTGCGTCTAGCTGTAGTCTTGATAATTTTATAATTTAATAGCGGCAGCATAAAAAGGTAATATAGACCTGTAGCATCTTTGTAAAAACTCATATAAGATTGATTTGTAACGATGAAATGAAAATCATTATTATAGATTTTTTTACCTTCGAGTGCTAGGATTGAGTGATTGTTTAGTAAGGCACAAAGTGTATACTAATATTTACGCTTTATCTATCCTATAAGGGAAGAAAGTGGCGTCACTAGGGTGGAGGCACAGGACCTCGGGCCCCCTGAAAAATTTGAAGAGCATTCAAAAAATTTTGAAAATAGAAAATAATTTTAAAAAATTTTTTGAGCCCCCCTGAGATTGTAAAGGCTTAGTAATGCCCCTGGAAGAAAGTCCAAATTATAATAGGTTCCTTGAGATGAGCTGTCTAAATATTGGGAAACTTCCCATTTTTCTAAATAGAAGGAATGTTTTTATTTTTTCTAACAAGTTTAATTTTTAAAATTTTCTTAATTTTTTCACCTTCATCTTAAATGGTAAAAAGTATTTATAAGATAATTTTATTTATAGAAATGGGAAAAGAAACTCGAAATTATAAGGTGGGAATTTATCTCTAGAATATTTTTAGGGATGGTCCAACTCCAAATCCTCCTTATTCATCACCCCGTATCCTTTTATGAATGAAATATTTAAAAATTTGTCTATTCTATATAAAATAATTATAAAACCATCAATATCTTGGCATCTAAGATAATTACCAAAATAACGAGTATCATTCAACCGAGAAATTTTGAAAATCATATAATTATTTTAAAGATGTACTGAAATATTTTTCCGGTACTTGGTCAACCCGGCCCAAGAATCCTTCATAGAATGGGCCAGATTTTAATTTTTAATATATGACGCTAACAGGTTATAAACCATATATTATTTAAAACAGTTTATGGGGTTGACTTAAAAAACTATCTACACAAAAATCCTAAGGGCCTCCTAGCTCCATTCGATTTTCGTTTTTAATTCTGAATTCTTTTCAGAATGCCCTGATAACATTTTTTGGTTTTTAAAAATAGATTCTGACATCAGATTATAAAATCTTTAAAATACTCTTCGAGCTATATTTATTTTTAAATCTGAAAATCACTATTCAGTGATATTATAAATTCTTAAAAGTAATAAACGAGTCAGGACACAGTTAATGAGTTTGTTTCCTTAATAATAAATGACAAAAAGAATTAATATTTATATTTTTATTATTACAACTATTTATAGTGCTTTTAAAAGTAAGCGGTTACATTTTGCATTAAATTAACAATATTGATACTTTTGAGATGTAACTAATTGCATTTTTTGGAATATAAAACCACAAAAGTATCTAGTTTATTACTTTTCAATATACTTTTTCTAAATATTTATATATCATTCATTATCTTTATATGCTGATTTCCCAAATTTAACATTACTGTTTATTAAATATAATGTCACACCTATATCATGTGCTCCTAAATAAAGATTTATTAAGCCCAACTCTTTTGAAAAATAAATATTATATATCATTCTTTTTCAGTGCAAATAAATATTACAATGTAGTATGTTTTTTCCGTAAAATTATTTCTTTTGTATCTTCATTTAAATTCTTTTGATTAAAATTTGTAAACCCGTAATAATTTTCTACGCGGAAAAAAATTATATAAAGTAACTTGAAATGTGACTCATTACTATTGAAATATAACTAGTTACTAGTCACCCTTTTAATAACGTGTAACTTGTAATTATGCTTGCTTAGTTAATTTTCAAAAGTAACTAAATAATTTTTATCACTTTTTAAAATTTTAACAAAAAGAATATTCCCCAAATTCTGTATTCAAAGAATATTGTTTCTTTTTTGAAAACACGATTTAAATTAAAATATGCCTTATATTCTTGTATGTAAATAGAAAATTTAACTTGGATCTTAATATATAAATTTTCTTACATTTTCTTTTCTCATTTTTATAATTATATTTTTTTCATCTTCGTAGAAATGATTGCATTAGACAAAGAATTAGAATCTTTGGACATCGATAATGAAAGTGAAATATCAAAGTTTTATAAACTAAGGGTCAAGTTAGAAGAGTTGAATCGAGATCTGAGAACAATCATTACTAAGCCTGAATACATTTTACAATATTTACAACCCGGACGAATGGTTAAGGTAATTTATTCATACTCTTCATTTATACCAAAGACTTACTTTGTATAATAAGAGAGAGAAAGGAAGGAACGAAGGAAGAAAAAAAAAGATCAAACTAATTATTGCATAATATTTTATTAGTCTAAATGTATTAGGTATTCATTTATCACCACTAAATTGTAATTTAATAGATAATATATAAATTTTAGATCAAAAACAATGATGATGAGTTTGATTGGGGTATCGTGGTTAACTTTTACAGGAGAGCAAAGAAAGTATTATTTTTATTTTATTGCTCTTGATTATAGTTTTGATAATGAGATAACCGCTAGTAGTTAGCTAAATTTTTAAAAACCTCGAGTTGTTAGATTTTGGTCAAATATAAACCTTTTTTTAAGCCGCCTAAAACGGATAAAAATAGAGCGATTGTCCACAACTATATCTTAATATATTATTTAGTAATTGTTTTTCATCTTAAAATACGATATATTTCTCGAAATATTTATTCTGACAAATAATTTTTTTTTAATCGACGAGCAAAGAAATACATAAAAATTTTATTCGTAAATTCCCAGGCTTAAAGCTTTATAAAATCAAATTAAATCTCATTTCTTGAATTTAAAAAAAAAATTGATTATTTTACATTAAAAAATCAATGATTTTATACATCTTGATTTTACAGGTCCATTGACTTAAATACTCTCTGTTAGTGTGTTCTGAGTTCTGACTCACTAAAATCATATTTTAATAAAGTAATAGCAAAATAATTATTTCTATAATATTTAATGTTTGTTTCTTTACATCTAGATCATTAGAGAGATAAATATAATGAGAAGCCCATCTATAAGTTAAAATATTTCCAAAATCAGAATTTATACATGGTATTCCTCAATGTTTTATATTCCTAACTACCCTTGTAACCATGCAATTAAAATCATTTCATTTCATAATAGAGCCCATCTTTTCAAATCGTATATTTACTTTATTTGTATACTAAAAATATGTAGATTATTTCAAAGATATCACCAAATAAGATTTAAAATTTACTAATAAATTCAAATGGAAAAATCCGATTTTTTTTACTTAAAAACAATTATTAAAAAACACTGCTCTAAAAGAACATTATAGGAGTATAGGAGAGAAAAAATTAATAAAATAATTGACTCGAAAGGGGAATAAATATATAAAAATATGGGGAAAGAGGAGTGGATGCTAAGAAAATTCTTCATTGTAAATATTCTTGCTAACGTCAACCCCGTCACAAAGCGATTAACAATAGCATTCTAAATGCTTTCAATCTACCCAAAAACCGCCTTTTGGGTGATAGTTTTAGCAGACCTGATGATGCACTGATTCAATGTTCCAAACAAATATTGACCTATAAATTACCTATTCTTTGTAAACTTCCGCGATGAGATCAAATAGCTAGGGGAAAAAATAATTACAACTACTGGATCCCAGTGAAGACTATTATCCTCAGCAAAAGATCTGTTTAGTCCCTTTTCTAGCCCATTATTTTTTTTATAATATATCATAGAATTTATAAAATATTTGTGACCCTTCTCTTATATTCTATAATAATGCTACAAGTGTATCTAATAAAACAAAATAATAATATTATAAAAAAAATTTTTTTTTTAATTAACATTTTAATACGTTTTTTAAATGTATTTCCGTTTAAAAAAAATTAGTGAAAGTTTTTTTGCTATTCGCCATTATATTATTGGATAGGTAAATTATATTGATCCGCTGATTACCGATTTAAAATAAAAGTTTAAGCCGATCCTATATTGTTATATCTTTATGATAAATTAATGAAGGTTTTAGTAGTTTTAAAAGAGAGATTTGTGAAATAATTATTTATGGTTTTACTTCACGCTAATATTATCTCCCAAATGCATCTTGCATAATTGAATGAGCGAAACTGATAAGTAGAGCAGGTAAAAACAAGGATTTAAATCATTTTTTGTTTTTGAAATAAATTTTTTTAAAAAATTACTTTTTCTAAGATTAATTGTTGGAGTCTAATAAATACAATAAATTGGATTTGATTTGGAAATTTAGTTACTCGATAAAAGCTTTTTGTGTGAAATTAAATTTTTTAACATTTTATAATATAGACATCCTCGAAATTATCATCAGGTAATACTTACCCATCCATTTTATCTAGCCCGGTTGGTCCAAATAATAGTGAAGATTTATCGATGAATATGAGCGATCTCTCTAACAAATTTGATTACATAGTCGACGTTTTGGTGAATATTCTCAAACAAAATCCGAATAACAGATGCAGTAAAGACATCAAACCCGCGATAAACACTGAACGAAGTAACGCTTCTAATACTCAAAACAACGATACAAACGCGAAAACTAACGGGACGGTGCCCAAAAGCAAAAAATTTGACACCAAAAATAGTGGTCATGACGATGCCAATGAAATGATTGTAATATTTTCATAAAAATATTAATATAATCGATTTAACCTTCAGTGCTAATGTGGAAAAAATTGACCCCATATTTACACATCTCACACACATATAATTAACCTAAATAAATTCATCGCAAAATTTAAACAAAATATCCATTATTTAACAAATGTGGAAAACCCATCTGCATATTCATTTATGATCAATATTTTTAGATATGGGATATAGGGCTGTGCCGATATTAAATATTGGATCGGATCAGCACCGATATTTAGCGTTTTCCAAAAATATCGGATAAGGCCGATACCCTTAAAATCCTATCCGATCTTTTTACTTTTCTTTTTTTGTTATTTTATGTATATTTATTTTACATTAATAATATTTTCTAAATATTTTTTTTAAACAATGCATATGCACAATACCCCTTAAATTTTATTTATTTTTTAAATAGATTTTTAGTATTTTAAAAGTTTTTTTTATAAAAATAGAAAGGAACATCCAAAGTTTTATTTATTTTAAATCTTTTTAAAATATGGTATCTGAATTATGGAAATATCTTACAAAAGACAAAGATAATTTTGCAAAATGCGTTATCTGCGGAATTCTAATTTCATGGGGAGGAATAATGAAAAATTCATTTAATACTACCAATACTCGTAAACTTTTTTTAATTATTGTAGAAATAAAAAAATTAAATTAAATGCATAATTCCGGGGGAGGGGGGGGGTGAAAAATCAATATAAATATCGGGTCGGTTTTGAACTAATATCGGATCGGTGAAATATATGTGGATTGGCACAGCCCTAATGGGATATTGATGTACCCCACCTTACCATCGAGGCTAAGATTTTAGCATGATACTTGATAAATTATTATCTGTAAATTTTTAAAAATGGTTACAATCGTATCTGATGTAGTTTGAGTAGTACCTTATGTATTTTATCAATTGTTCATTTGTTTCTAAACCTCTTTAGCAGGCGATATCAATTTTACACTTAAATCTTTAACTAGGCTTTGCCTTTTTCTTATCATTTTATATCTTTTCGAGTTTTAAAATTGATATTATCACCGATCAGTCATCTTAATGAATTTCCTTTGTCCAAGCATTTTGGGTGGTTGTAGAATTTCGTCTTACATCATGTTTAAAATCTTATAAAGGACACTTAACGGTTCAGGTTTGGTGACTATTAACGGTTAATACCATTATAATAGTTTGGTTCCGTTTGTATCCTTGTAGACAAAATTTTGTGTATTTCATGGTCCAATGGGCTTCTGGCATGTATGAGCTGTTAATGATAGAAAATGTCTATTAAATTTCTAAATCCTGAAATAGATTTCTTCAGTAACCTCACCAGCTTTTATTATTCAGGCTTGCTAATAAATCTTTTGATTTATTCATGCTCAAACGCCTTGCTAAATATTGAATCTTACATAACATTATTTAGACTAAAATCATTTAGTCTTATTGGGCCGTGAGCCGTTTAAAAAAGTGATCACCGACGTTTACAACACTAATAATATATTTCTATAGGTGAAAATTTATTTTTTCTATGATATACATTTATAATAAATTATAAATGCAATAATCTTTTGAATAAATAGATTTAAATTTGTGGAGGCATATGTTTTATCCGTGCAGATCACTCTTTTGCTCTTCTCTAGCCATGTCAGATTCCGCGAGATATTATGGAAGTAGGGTAGCTAAATGTATGAATGAAGCTATCCATTTGAGCATTTAGCCATTTTAAATTTTCCAAATAGACTACGGTATTTCTCCATAGAACTTGCTATTGGAATTTTTTAGTTATATGTTACCTATTTATACTGTAAGTAATAAAATTTGATAATTTGATGTCATCTTTTAGCAAAGCATTGACGCCAATCCTTTCCACGAGTAGCAAGATTATTTTAAAGTGATCTTCCTAAATTTAAATCTATGATAGTACTCCTACGTACACAAGTCATTTAGTGCCCTTCATTTTGAGTAATAACATCATTCATTAGGACAAATTTTGGACGAGTCAACGTCCTTTCTAAAACATTTATTGTAGAGATCTTGATAATTATTTCTTTGTCTGTAAATTGAATCATCTTAGCACCACTTGTTTTGGAAAACTATAAGAATTGAATATTCGCAAATTTCAAAATTATTATAATGATAATCTTGATTCATCTTTGATTTGAATTTTATTTGAAGAAAACTATTAATAAATGAGTTATAAAAATGAAAATAAAAAAAAATAAACTTATCTAATTTTTTTTCCTTCTTTATCTTTACTAAAATATTTATAATAACGTTTAAAAATGTGTAACACATAGTAACAACCAAAAAAAATTTTAAGGTCTCATCCCGTAGCTCACGTAATTGCGGCTGACCTCGAAGGATATTTGTTACCTGATGTATACAGATATTTAAGATCCCCTGTTTGTTTTGGTATTTTTCTTCCTAAACTATTAATTAGAGAAATGACATCAAATTGAGTTTCTCGAAACAAGAACGCATTATTGCAATGTACTGCCTACAATGAAATTATAATCAATCACGGTATTGGCATATGCCGAAATATAACTCTTTAAGTTAAAAGTGAATATGAGAATTCATTTTATAGGCTGTTATACTTCTTCAGTATTTTATTTAAAATTGACAGAATTGTTGGAAATAATTTTTTAGTATAAAAACGAAATTGTTAAGATATGGTTCAGTGTAAATCAGTAAATATATTTTTTTCGTTATTTTAATAGATTTACCAGTAAATACTCCCCAGTATTCTAATTGGGACAGTAAATATATTTTTCTCCATTATTTTAATTATATTACCAGTAAAATAAGTTCAATATTTAAATTAAATTATCAGTAAGGTAAACTCATCGTTATAACTAATTATATTAAAATTTAGAGATTTTTAATATGAAAATTTAAATTATAATGATTATAATATCACTAATTTTTTTAAAATTATCTCAAAATATATTAGTTTTAATTTATGATATAATTTTATATTATTTAAATAGCAATAAGCCACCTTGCAGATTAATTGAGAAATAATTATTAATTTTTATTGCCTTATTATATATGGGCAGATTTAATTGCGGAAGAGTCAGACATTTTCCTTTCTTATAATTAGCAAGTATACTTCAAGACTTGACGGTTATCTGTTTTCAACACACTCGCATTTGTAGCCATATAAAGAGAAAATAATTTAATAAAATTTATATTTAAAATTTTACCAAAAAGGCAGGCCAGATTTTCCAAAACTTAGGAAGATGCAAGATTTTTAAACATTCGTCTGATATATTTAAATATTTTTTAAAATCTAACATCTATATTTGGGGATATTTTAATTTTATGAGCAGTGTTTGGGATTAAAGATCACCATTCATTGAAGGTTTATTTCTATTTTACTTTTATATAATTTATTCCACCACTGAAGCCTCCTTTTAAAAAAAAGGGTTCTGGTTCAGTGAAATATCCTTAAACCAGGCTCGGGTTCAAGTTAGTTCAGGGTTCATGATCCATAAATATTAAGACTTATACAATTTAGTAAAAAATAAAAAGAAAATCAGTTTTTTATAAACTTTATTTTACTATATTTAGACCTTACCATAAAATATATCATTATAATTAGAATATGTCTGTCATGATATCTTCCAATATCAAGATGTTAAAATTAAAATATAATTTTTTTATGCCTAACTTTTGCAGGGCATTGCATTGCAATTAATAAAGCTATTTTACCTTGAGATTATTTTCATTTCTTTCGTCTTACTTTTAATACAATCCAACACAAAAATATATATTCCTAAAATATATATTATTATCTTATATTTAAAAAAATTACAAAATATGCTGGTAAAATTTTAATAAAATGGAGTAGTCTAATAAAATATAATAATAAGAATTCCCCGCTAAATAATTTTTATCAAAGAATGTTTTTATATTGAAAATAAAAAAAATATGTTATATGTTAAAATAATTTGCATGTTTTTATATGTAATTTTAATAATGTTTTATATATGTTTGTTATTTTAAATATATTTTTCAAAATAAATGAAAATTTAATATTTAAAAAAATGTTATTGAATCCTGAACCTTAAATTTTAAAAAAGCGCTCGAATTTGGGTTGGGTTCACTAATATATGGTTCGGGTTCTGGTTCACAGTCCTGGTTTATTTAACATCCAAAAGCATGTTTAAAAATAGGCAGAGTATGACATCTGCTTAAAAATAAAAGATTATACCTGAAAATTTTTTAAATAAAGAATTTTTAAGAATGCTTTAAATTTTTTTGTAAAAACTCTTTTATAGGTAAATATTTTATGTATATAAAAAATCTTTCATGATGAAATAATGCAGTGTATAAAATATAATATAAGTGCATATAATAATGTTTTAAACTCTGAAAAAGGTGTATGAGAATGCTCAAACAGGATACCACTTTTAAAATCTAAGAATACTCAACATTTTTGGAAGATATCTTGTCTAAATTTGAAAGTAGATCTTTAAAAAAAATCTTAATATTGTAGAGAAGGCCATAAAACACGACCTTCGCTTCGTGAAAGCAATTTTTAAATTTTCCATCAGATGGTTTTTCAACAGTAAAATTTAATAACATTTAACCACAAGTAGTATCTTCATTTATGGCAGTTGAGAACTAATAACATTTAAAAAAAAATTTTTTTATATATTATATTTTTAAAATTTTATAAGTTAAACCGAGGTTTAAATTCAGATCCAACCGCCAAAGTTTCTTATTTTAATTATTTCATTCCTTTTGTTATATCGTTAAAATTGTTAATCTAATATTTTATATCTTAAATATTTTAATAAATTTTGAAAATAATATATGTCAATACTACTTTATTTCGTCATAAGAAGATAATTTAATTCTGCCCTGTTCCCAGTATCGAACATTTCTTACACAAATAAAGAAAATTAAGGGTACTAAGTCTACAATTACGTGTAGATTATGTCCTAATTCAAATATTTTACTCGATGTCCAGCATCTCAAATCTAAAAAAATATACCAAGGCTAAAATATGAATGCATCTAATATTAAGAATTAGCAACCAATCCACTGAGACCGAGGGTCTAGTAAATATTATAATAAACCTATCCATCAAACCATAATTTTATCCCGTTAATTAACATCACTCTGGGTAAATTTTTATTCGCCATTTTATAGCGAATATATTTATTTAATATCATCATTTATAAATATTTTATTTTTTGTATACCATAGGTCGTTCCTAGCATGTTGCCGCTTATCTACAAAATAAGTAGCGTGAGGCTATATTACCCCAACGATTTAAAATCATACGAAAATAGGCAAAGCGTGTTAAGGAATATACAAGAAATCAAGACCCGATTCTCAAACATAAACATATCTTCGTCCAATACTAACGTTGGCTCTGATAATTTAAATGTAAAAGTCAAAGCGACTAGTGATAACATACCCTTGTTGGATCCCATTTGTGATATGGGTATTAAAGAACCACAACTCAAAAGTATCGTCAAAGTTGGTCAAATTTTGTTTTATTTGTTATTAAAATATATATTACTAACTTTATTATTTGGATTCATGAAGAAAGCAATGAGTTATTTTTTAAGATGCCTTGAATTTTCAAATTAATAATAATATTAATTAATTTATACCTGATATTTTTCAAAATTTTATATTTATTAACCATATGCCTATGCTCCAGAATAATTTTGCTTTTGTATTTAAAAAAATTAAATTATCAAAAAAAGAAAATAGAATTATTGGAAGCTAAAATTTATAACCATCCAATGTTCAATAAGCCTGAGATGGAAAAGGTTTACGTAGACTACGCTAAGAAAATGGAAGTAATTTCTCTATTTTTATTAACAATAATTAATAATATATAAAGCTTGCATTAATCAATATTTGAGTGATTAAAATGGGTAGTGTTGTTAAACGGCCCGATTAAGATTTTCGCCAAAATAATTATGTAAGTCTCAAGATTTGGCAAATAGAAGGTGGAAACCTTCTGCCAGGTTGGGTCATATAATTATAAATAAAAATTTGGGCAGGTCAATAAATTTCAAATGCTTGAAAATCAAATCCGGTCCGGGTCTTTTAATATGTATATCTTCATGTCTTATATTTACATATAGGAATAATGCAATTATTCGAATCACTCAAATACAAATGATATAATTATTTGATCCATAGAAATTGGAAAACTAAATATCTCCATACATAATATTATTTTGGTTAAAATCATAATCGCATTTTTTAAAATCTACCAACATCGAACAGTTTGATAACGCTAGAAATGGGTGACAAATTACATCCTAAATTAAATATATCATGTTATAAGATTGTCGAATTGTCAATGAAATTATCACCATATTGGTCGTGTTATATAGGTGTCACTCAAAGAATTTTTTGAATATAACTATAGTTATACCTAAAATAATTTTTATAATTAAAAGTTTGAACATTTCAGATTGCCATAATAGTCTAGCTCGAATCATGGAAGGGTTCGTTAAAATATTGAAAAAATTTAGGCATGCTTAAATAAACGTGCTAAGAACTATTGCCCCCCCCCCCATAGGAGACTTTAATGATTGATATATTATCAAAAAAATTATCATTCACTGTTTTGTATAATATTTAAAGTTATCAAAAGACCGACAAACAGCTTATAACGATTTACAAAAAACTATGTCTATCATTAAAATGGATGAATTGAAATATAGGAAGAGAGTTTTAAGGAGATTGGGATTTTGTTCCGAAAATGATGTCATTGAATTAAAAGGAAGAGTCGCTTGCGAAATTTCAACGTAATATATAATTTTTTTTAGGGAAAAAGACAGCCCCTTCCCTCCTCTGCACTATACCACATTATAAATGTACAATTACAAATATAAGTCAATGGAATAATTATAATTCACAAGGATAGCACGCTTCAAATGTATTTTTACCCATAACGCCTTCGGCTGCTAATTATAACAATTTTTGGTGTACTCATAATTAAAGAATTTTTGTTGAATTGAATTTAAATTAATTTATAGATAGTAGAGACGAAACATAATCTAGGTTATTAGAAATAGAAAAAAGCTTTAATAAAAATATGCAAAATTTATAAATTGATTTGGAATTGGTTTGTTTCTTTAGCAATTTTATATAACGAGTCGAACAAGGTTTATAAATTTTTTTACACCTTTACTCCTAATCGGGTAATATAAAATCTAACAAGTTAAAATTTTGTTTCTAATAACATTTATAATCTTGTTACAAAGGAATTGAAAGTGGTACTGGATTCCCTGTCTGTAGAGGTTGGCTGAATTTTTTTTAATGAGATGAATTCACATTGCCACCTTACCTTCCTTCACTTAAAAGAAATATATATTACACTTATTTTATATCAGCATATAGAGATTAATTATTATTGCATAATTTTTCCTATTTGCGCAGTAATTAATAATTTAATTTTCGCTCTGGGTTGCTGAGAATAAATCAAGGCACAAGATCGCAAAATTTAATTATTAATTGTTGCACAAAGAGGAAAAACTATGCAAAAATAATTAGCCTTTATGTGTAAACAGGGAATCCATAAACCTCCTTCAATACCTATAAAAGTTTGTAAGAAAATTATAAATTATTAGAAACAAAATGTTAACTTGCTAGCCTTTATATTACCCGAGCCATAATTTTCCTTTTCAGATATTTAGGGGAAAAACAAAAATAATTTTTTTTTTATATTTGATCATCTTATGTTTAATAGAAAGTTTAAACCTACATTTTTATTGACTAGGACTTCAAATTTTTCCTATTTTTATTAACTGATTACTTAATTTTAAAAAAAGTCTTTTGTTACGGGAGGGGGGTTACCAGAAGATTTTGAACCATGGATCTTTTCTCTAGGTTTTTTCTTTCGAAATCTTTTTAAAATTTAGTTAAATTTGTTTAAATACTATGTCTGATCTTATGGAATTATATAATTTCTTAAATATAATGTAATGAATAATTTTATTGTTCATATATTTAACATAACATTTATATATATATAGAGGCGACGAATTAGTTTTAACCGAACTAATGTTCAATGGGGCTTTTAATAATCTTGATTGTGATCAAATAGTAGCTTTGTTAAGTTGCTTTGTTTTTCAGGAGAAAGCAATGGATATCCCTAAATTAGAGGCCGAATTATCCGCTCCCCTGAAAATGATTCAAGTACCATTTTTCGCATAATTTATTCTACATTTATCTTCTTTTTATTAAAATGGAGTTAGCTTCTTATCTAATTATATTTGCCAATTTTTTTTCTAAACTTTTATAGAAATCGGTCACTATAAAGATTTTGTTTTACAAATAGTTGATAAAAATTTCATATATTAGTTTACTCTAATTATTTAATCGGTTTAGTCCCCTATCTAGTCTAGTTTTAGGTCAAAAACCACCTCTTAACTTAAGGTGAATATTAGTCACCTCGATTTCGTCATCTCTAGAGTGTACCTAAAACGAATTATTCGATTCGTAATTTACGAATATGAATAACAAAATTATTCTATTCGAAGCAAATACGAATAAGGAGAATATATTATTCGTCGAATAAATTTTTATCCATTATTTCATATTATTCTAAATTATCGAATATATTTGACATTATTCGCAAATATTCGTAAATATTAAAACTTATTCATAAATATTTAAAACTATTTGTATTTAACATGTTCCTTAAGAGATATTTTATTACTTTATTTATACATAATATAAATTACTTTTTCAATTTTAATAAGCTAATTATTCTAGGGTTTGAACAAAAATATCTTTTGAACAAAAATTTTTCAGATTTAATTAAAGAAAGAAAGATTTTTGATCAAAACCTAAAATTCAAATTATGTTAAATGAAAAATCGTTCATAAGTAAATTTTTTAATTTTCATACACGAGAAATCTTTTAAGATGAAATCCGAAATTTTTAAAAATAAATATATTCAAAGATTCATTCAAAAAATTTTAAGATTCTATCATACTTTTATTTTTTTATTTTTTAAAATATATTAAAGAATTTAATTTTCGAATCGAATATTTGTAGAATCAAATCGAATAATGTGTAGTACAGATAAGGAATTTATCGATTCGTACTAATACGAATAATACAAATATTCGATTCGTATTTTTATATCTAGAGCCACCTCAGGTCAGTTACAATGTTAACTAGGTTATCTAATATGTGTGATCATGATGAAATATTTTAAAAAGTTTCTATCACTTAGTTTTCAATTGGGTTAAAAGTTTTTAATAGTCAAAGACCTTTGGCTGATATTTTAAAAGTAATTCTCGCCGTCAGTTTTTACTCCACTATTTTTTTTATAAATTATTAAAAAATACCATTACTTTATAGCTCAAATGAGTCACAAGACCTTTTGCTGTATATAATTCTATTTTTAGCTCATAAATTTAAGAGCTACTTTAAGAAATATTTATTAGTAATACTAATTAGAGGTCTGCAAAATAATTTTTTCGCAGCCCGAGTCCGACACGAACCCGAATTAAACTTTTTTGTCCGAGTCCAGCACACATTTGTTAGTCCAACCAGACCCGAGCCCTAATAAAATTTTATAACTTGAGTTTGAATATTATAATAACCAAAAAAAATTTATGTGTATTTATTCATGCCACCTTAAATAAAAGTTTATTTGACGGCCATAATCTAATCAAGATATATATTAAATTGCATTTTATTTAATTTGTAAAAAATATTATAAAAAAGTTAAAATACAATCGAATTTAAAAATTATTGCGATTATATAAAAACAATAAGCATGATTTATGTCGAAAGTAGATGATATAATAGTTAATATAGAGACTAAAAAATATAATAATGAACATATTATAATGACATCAATATCATTATCAAAAGTATCACAAAGCGAATAATTATGATATATAAATAATGAGGAATCCGGTTTATCTGACTTTAAACGAGTCCTTTTCACTTCAAAGGCCCTACTAGCACCTTAAAACACTCTTTCACTGTTAGCCGACGAAGCAGGGATAGCTAGGAATTTAAGAGCCAAAATTCTTAAATTTGGAAAGTCATTATGGTTTGTTTTCCACCAATTTAAAATATTATCATCTTATATATAATTTAGCATCTAGGTAATTTTGAAGTTCGTCAATTCATTAGCATTTAGAAACGCATTGCTCCCATAGGGAGAAATCCAAAAACGTTATTTCGGTATTTTCTTAAGAAAAAAAATATTCATAGTATAATAATAATTTTGAAAGATATATATATTTACTTTATTATTAATTTAATGAACCTTTATATACTACTCTATCAGTTGAGTAGGCGTTAGATGTTGAGTTGGTATTTTTAGATTTTTGTCCAATTATATCTCTATTAATCTTCTCTGCATTAATCAACATGTTAATATATTGGCACAAATCTTTATAATGTTGGTTAAGTTGCTAGTTTAAATTTGGATGAGCTAAAAACTCAATATTTTGTGATAACACAATATAACTTTGTTAATGGTGGGTTTTATCACCCTCAAATTCGTCACTCGCAATTTTAAATGGCGTCAGAAACTGTCCCTCATCATTTCAGAATCTATATTTTCGAGCCTAATCACTCTAGAACTGATAATCTCCAATATTTCATTGATTAAAAATTGATTCAATCATCTTTAGTCTGCTATTCCTTCGAGTCTCAACACACAAATGGAGTGTTTTATCAAGTTGATTAGCTAATCTAAAATTTAATGCTATATTTTAATAAAAAGTTAACTAACCCACTCTGTTTTATATAAGTAACTAAACTTTTACAATCAGCAAAACATTGAGATATCTGAACCTTGAGATTCAATATTTTTATTATCATAGTATTCCTTAATACTGTATTTAAAAGATGAGAAGCACAATTCAATCTTTTATGATTTTCAAATGCTTTAATCATATTAGCTGCTTGTTCTGTAATGAATGGCATTTCAGATAAATATGTCTTATTGTATCCTAATATTAAAATACATTGATTTTTATAATTATTTTTAATATCAATACCTAATAAGGTGAAACTTTTAATAATTTCCTTTTTAATATTTTCACCCCTCTTTTTTTTTTCAAACTTGCATGTAAACAATACAACTTTATTAAGTTTCCAGGAATCGTTTAAAAAAATGAATAGTAAGAATTACATAGAATACTTTCTTATAATCATCAGTCCAAAGGCTGTGGTGGTTAATTTTCATATATCTCAGCACATCGACCCTTTTTCAAATATGCGTTTAATTTAGGAAATAATTTATTGCTTATACCATCAACAGTATCTATTAAATTTCTAGAAATTGTCGTAGGATTTGGAATATGCTTCTAACATCAATATTTCCATATATTAAGCTAATTTTTACAAGATATTGGCAACAATCAAAGCATTCCCCGTGAATTGTATCAAATGATCTCAAATCACGTCCACAAAACATGGTAAGCACCTTTGTACACTCTAATTTGGTACAACCTTTGTGTTTTTTGGGATCAGTACCAAAAAGGCTATCAATTGTTAATTGAGTCTTTTTACTCTCTATTGTAAATATACATTTATGCCTTTTTAGTTGATTTGTGCCTAAAATAATTTAATAATATTATATATTTTATGTAAAAATATACTAACCTGTTATAGAATTATAAACATATATATTTGCAAAAATTGCAACTATAATTAATTTTTCTTTGTTTTCATCATATATGAATGAAAATTTTTTCCAGACCTCAGATTTGCCATTGTCCCTTACTTCATATTCATTGCTTTTAATCTTTTCACCAATTTTTTTTAATTTGGCATCCATTTAAATAATTAATTTAATATGAAAATATGAGGCTATTTAGTTAAATAAATATTAGTAAAATATATTTTATTTAACTTGATAGAATATGATGAAAGTAAAGTATGTAATAATATCGTTTTAAGTATGCAATGCAATATACTAAAATATAATCACATATGTGGTTGTTATGTAAATTAGTAATCTGCATCGGGCTAATTTTTTAACCCTGTGTTGAACCCTAAATTTTTTTTAAAAAATTTACCGGCCCAGTCCGGCCTAAATTTATTTAAATATAGAAATTAATTTTTATAATTACTCTAAATAAATGATATGTTATATGGCGTCTAGTTTCTATAAATAAAATCAAATATTTTTATTTTACATAAAAATTCAACATAAAATTGATAAATTTAGATATATTTAAAAAAATTTCCAAAGTCCGACCCGATCTGAATTTTTTTAAAAATATTAGACCCGGCCTAGCCCGAACCCTATTTCTTTTTAAAAAAATAGGCCCGAAGCCCGTTTTGCAGATCTCTTAATGTAAATTATAAAATGATAGGGTTATATAAATGGCATTATTAATTATAATGATTATTTAGGATATTTATATTAATATTTATTTTTCGGGCCGGGCAACTCTTACAACCCGTACAAATTTTTATTTACCTTTTATAAAATTATATCAACTCACATTTGATAACTTAATCATAGGAAACAGCCAGAAGAATAGCTAAGATCAGTCGTGAATGCAAATTAGAGTTAGATGAGATGGATTACGTGTATAGTTTCAAGCCAAATCTTATGGATGTAGTTTATGCCTGGAGCAAAGGTTCTCCATTTCACGAAATTATCAAAATGACAGACGTTTTTGAAGGTATGTTTATTTTCTCCTAAATCATACTATTTGATAACTTAAATAGTTTTATAGATTAATATTAAAATTGTTGGTTTTACTCAGGAGTGTATTGCGAGTGGGGCAACGGGGAGCTAAGCCTCCCTCCACTAATTTTTTTCTCTATTTATAGCCCCCTTTCCTAATTTTGAGGAGGAAACTGGGCCCCCCTCCCTCCCATCAAAGAATTTAAAAAATAAAATTTTTATATAGTCAAAATCCTTTTATGTTTTTTATGGTCACATAAATATAGAGAAGAAAAAGTTTTATTTTTCATTCTTTTATACAAATTTTATACCTCTTATTTAAAGTATAGAAGGTTCATCATCAACCATTAGTGGTGATAAATAGCTCCATTTAGCAGGTTTTAAGCCAACTCTAAATAGGCTAAACCTAGTTTTTAAGCGAAAACTATCTTTTTAGCCTTGCTCGATGTTTAAACTTAAAAGATAGCTCAATCTTTTAAAAAATATATACTCATCTCAAAGGCTTATTTCGACTATTAAGGATTGAGCCGATTTAGCAACACTAAAGGCAAGAAATAGTCCCAATTTCAAAATATTTTAAATGTTTTGATTGACTGATATTTAAATAAATCATTAAGTAGATTATCGAGGGAGTTTAAGAGTAAATAATTTGTCAAATGTATTTATAAATATTAATTGACTTTCAATGTCGGAATAAATTCGAGATTCATTTATCAAAATGTGGAAAAGTAATCATCGCAGGTAGTATTGTTAGATGGCTCGATTTGAGCCGATTTTTATAACGGCTAACTCAATCTAAGCCTCGAGATTTCGTTAATAAATGTCCAAACCTTTGTAGCACCTACGAGCAAAATCTTCAGGTTTGCGTAATCTTTTCTTGGATAGAATATTGAGTTAGCCGTTTTTAAAAATCAGCTCAAAACTAGCCCTTTAACAAAACTAATCGGATGGAATGAAATCAAAAATACAGCCCAAAGGAAGCGAAGAAAGAAGATTTATTGAAATTTTTTAAATTTATTTAATTTTAATTTCTATAGATATTTATGGTAAATTTTTATGACTTTATTTTTAAATATAATATAAAAGAATTTATTCATATTCGTAATAAAAAAAAATTGTTATATATCATATTCTTTTGATAATTATAAAAAAAAATTTTTTAAGCAATACATCAGGTTTTAATATTATACTAGATCACTTGATGATTGTTATATAATGATACGAGATATTCACATCAAATTGACGCTAATTATTTTCATATTATTTCTTTCTTAAAATAATTTACATGTCCATATTTAATTCTTATATTTTGAAGATAATATTAATAACAATTGATTATTAAATTATTTTATAAATTTAATGTTCGAATACGGAGTCATTATTAATTCGAAAGAAGATTATTTTTGAAAATTATAATATCTAAAACTATATTTTTTAGGTAGTATTATTAGATGTATGAGAAGGTTGGAAGAATTGTTGCGCGAAATGTATCATTCTGCAAAGGCTATCGGTAATGTAGACCTCGAAAATAAGTTTTCTGAAGGTAAGATTTAAGATAAACTTTTATTCACTTGCTTATATTATGGACCATCTTTTGAGATTGATAAATAGTGGATGATTTAAATGAATAGATTTAAATATTTTTTGAAATAAGTAAATTACTCTTTTTCTTTTTTTTCAGTTTATCTATCGTAAGCTCTTTTTCCATTCATAGCTAAGAAGTTTAACCTTGTATTTCCTATTTAATAATAACGAGTTATATTGTATTCGGTAACGATATCAGCATATAAAACTATTTTTGTAATAACCTTTCCCATACCTAGTAGTAGTGTTGTTAAACGGCTCGTTTTGAGCCGATTTTTAAAAACGGCTAACTCAATATTTTAGCCAGAAAAATATTGCCTAAGCTTCAAGATTTCGAAAATATATGTCTAGACATTTGTTCCTTCTATGAGCAAAATCTTCAGGCTTGGGTAATATTTTTCTGGATGAGGTATTGAGTTTTAGCCGTTTTTAAAAATCGGCTCAAAACGAGCCGTTTAACAACACTACCTAGTTGTGTTACAGTGTGTTATTATATTAATAGAAAAGAAAGATAATGAACCTTATTTTTATCATAATATTTAGGTTGCACCAAAATTAAAAGGGATATTATATTCGCCGCAAGTCTTTACATATAGGAAATATTTGTGATTCGAGATTGAATTTTATATATATAATGATTGAACAAAATATTTACACCTATAACTTGTAAATAATATATATTACTTTATAATGTTTCTAATTTTAAATAATGATGATATGTGATATCTATCAAATAAATAAAGTAGAAAACATGATGATTTCTTATAAATTTAATTGACAAACACAAAATTTGTATATATAAGCACTACTATAATAATATATATTTCAAATGCAAACAAAACATTTTTAATAAATAAATTAGGAAAACAAATTTAAATAATTGTCATAAAAATTATTTTTTTGAGATTGATAAGACATATAGATGTTACTTTGACCTTAATTATTAACCCGGCGATAGGAAAGATTCTCTTGTTACGTATATTTGTTGAGGTACCCAAAAAACATTTATAACTAAATTAGTTAGTTTCTGGTGTTCCAGTCGTATTTTTACCAAAAGAATCGTGTATCTTGCTCTTGTATATGCTGATTAAATAAAATATAACATTCCTGCTCTAAAAATTATTTTAGTGAAATGAGTCCTCACGTAACTGGTTTTATTATTATTAAGGACTGACTTTTTAAATTATTTATATAACTTTTAAATACTTTTTTTTTATTTATACAAAATAATTTTCCGATTGAAAAATTTTAATCAAATTAATTAAAATGTAAAGTATTAATCCCTCTGATGCTGAAGAAAATATACAATGTAATTTTATTTAAACTGAAAAAATATTTTATAATATTTTCCCCTCAAAAATTTGGCTTAATAAATTTTTACCTGACTTTACTAATAAACATTTTCACAATCTTCCCAAATTAAATAAACGTACTACAAGAGTGCCCGAAGTAAATGAGACTTTATATTTAATAAACAGTCATTTTAAATTAGGAAAATTATCTGAATATCAGGTTGGGCAAATTTTCAGAAAATTGTATCCTGTTTCAGAAAGTTGCTTTATTTAAAGCTTTAAGTCAAAATCAAAATGTATCAAGGTTCTACCATTTTTAAATATTATTCTTTTAAAAACAAACGAAGTTAATAGATTATTAAATTTTTTCTGAGATATTGTTTTCTTTTTATTATTTGAAGATTCTAGGTTTTTTTGAGTTTATGTTTTTGCATTCTTCACAATTTCTGTTTATGTAATATTTTATCTTGATTCATCTAATTTGTGATTCTAGATGACGTCTATAAATTAAGCAAAGAATCTCGATTAGAGATTTTTATTTTTAATATATTTATCAATATTTTTTTTTCTTATTCTCTTTAATTCTAGATAATTATATATATATATCATTCTCATTTCATTAACAATCCGAGATATAAAAATTTATCTTAAAGAACTTATAAATTTAGCAAATGAATGACATAGAATCTGAAATAAATATCATTATAAATGTGATTTTAAATAGAATTATATGAGATACTTTTTGATGATTGACAAAATTAGATTAAGAGTCTGCAGAGCCACTTTTATATTTGTGTTCATGCTAGGTGATTTCAATAAAAAAATCCATTTAATATGATTTATTTATAATTGTATACTCTTTGTGTAGCATCATTGTTTTAACTTTTCGATTCTATAAAAATATCTACGATAACTAGTTCAAAATTTTTGGGGTAATGACGAAGGTATAGCGATTAAAAAAATATGCTAATTGTTTAGCAAATTCCTATATGATTCAGTTTCATATATCATTACTCTATCTTAAATTATCTAACCTGGGATTAAATTTTTCATTTAAACTTTTTAAAAAAAATTTCGGGCTGGGCAATTCCTACATAAAATATTTTCGGGCCGGACAATTTATACGTGAAAGGCAATGCCTCGCAAATTTCTGATTTTTAATAAAATTTTAATATATTCTTTTGAACAGGATAATATTTTGATTAAAACTATTTGAAAATAAGCTTATTTTGTATTTTAAAAGCTTTTATTACAAATATAAGATACAGATATACACAATTAATATATAACACGATTTTTGCAGAAATAGATAGCCATAGAGGAGAGATGTAAGAGCCTTAATCACATTGGAAAAAAGAGATTAAAAATAAAAATACCAAAAAATTCGTACAAAATAATTAATGGGTCATGCTGAATTTTCGTAAAATTAAAACGAGCCGGGCAAATAATTTAGAGCCCGGGCTATGCAGGTCTAATATTTATTAATTTCTAATACCAGACTGTCTGGGTAGCTTACTACTATTTGTTGTCTTGAATGTATGGCTAAAGCAATTTTTGAAAACTATGCCCGCATCCCCCTGTTCATATTTGGTTGCAGCCACAAATGATTTGTTATAATAAAATGAAACTAAGATTTAAAAAAAAAATCTTGATCCAACATCGGTAAACGTAAAAAAAATGCTCCCTCTGAGGCCCAACAGAAAAGTCTAATGACTCCCCTGGACTATGACCAGTCACCCTCCTCCTTGTTTTAAACGACTATATCTACTGAGGTCTAATTGGAGCGATGAGCTTTTTAATGATAATTTTCATTAATTTTTAAATATTTGTTTAAACTAACAAAAAATTCTAATTAGACCTTAGCCTAGCTTGGGCTTATTTTATCTTACTCACTATCCTTTCAGGGGTGCATCGATGGGGTTAATGGGAATCTATATAGAATAAATATGGCTAGCATCAGCAAAGTAATAAGGTAAAATAAAAGAGCGGGTACTCAAATTTGCGGAATCGTCTTCACATTCACTTGGAGTTAAATAATGTGTAATCATAAATTATTATTAGATTTGGCCATCTATAAAATTGTTCGAAATTTATTTTCTAATGTTAGTGCAACTAGTTA